CCTCACTACATTTTAAAAGAATATTACTGCACTGTGAAACCCAAAAAGTTAAGGCAACTCCAACCGTTTGAGGAAACCGATTGCTACAAACCATTTGAGTTAAAAAACTAATCTATTTGAGTAATGTGAACTTACTCCATTTAAGCTGAAGTGATGAGATATTAAATGAACACATTACCTTCAACACTGAGTTCAAAACTCTTCTCAAATGAGTAGAATTAACTTTCAGTAATTGAGTTACACACACTCATTTCATTTGATAAAGTTGACTGTAGGCTTTACTGTGTGTATATTTTTTCTCTGCTATATTTATTAAAACATTTCTAACTAAAGAAATCACGCACTAAAGTGTGACAAGTCCAATACATGGAAAATTTGATTCTTTAACCTGCTTAATTAGGGGTGTAACAATGCACTCGAGTCACAATTATGTTGTTTACATGCACATCGTCAGACTTTTATATCATGATGTCTCAATATCACAATGTATATCATTACAGGCCTACAGTTGTGTAATGAATTGGACTGATTGCATCTGTTTTTGAGTTTGAATTTTACCTTCTGTAATATGGTGAGCTGCAAATTCACTGTATGAAATACTTGGTAATGTCCACATTTGTGTTTTACTACATAAACACAGTAGGTTTTATTGAAACAAGCTGTAATATAATGCAAAATCAATGTCATATACATTTCCCCGCTGCCGTAGTATGTGCTCTATATGAAACTAATGTTAATAAATAACATTTAGCCCTATTTGACAATTGTTTATTGTCGACACTCAAATTATACACTTTATGTCTTTACCTATTTTTATTACCATATGATCTGGTAAATTTTGTACTTTTCTGCACATCTAAATTGTCATTAATTATCGTTAGTAGTTAACCAGCATTCAGAGTCACCTACTGTAAATTCCCCGTTCTAACTGAACTATAGCAGGTCACCTTATCCACGTCTAAATGCCTAAATGCACAGACTTACTTCCATGTGATTAACTGATTAGATATTTGATCAGTGTAACACAAAAGTTGATTTACAGGTATACAGTAAATATGCCTTGTTAGACGATTTCTATGTAGACTCCCGCACACAGAGTACACACACTTTCTGTTCACTCTCTAATATACTTTTTAAATCTGTCTCCCACGTTCTTTCTTTCTCCTTGTCTGTTGTGTCGAATCATAAAAGAACTTGTTGTAAAAGATGTCCTACTTTCTAGGTCATGGCACTCCTTGCCGATGCACGGTTTCCTGTGGGTTGTGCCAGCGCTGAATTAACATTTAAGCCTAGGTGTCAACACAATACTTCACGGTCATTTGTCATCGGTCATTGCATTCAACATGTTTAATGAATTAATTGATAAAAGTGAGTAAGAAGCACTTGGGTTTGATTCTTGCCGTCATTATTGATTGGATTAAGGTGGGGATTTACAGCTGATTTGTCTATAATTAGACTTGAGCTAAAACCACTCAGGTACACCCAAATCTTCATCATTGTTAAAGCTGGCGTGAGAAACAAGTGCAGGCAGATATTGAATGAGACATGAGTGTGTAGGTTTACATGATAAACTGGCTCTTGTACGTTTGTAGATATCTGCGAGTGATGTTTAGAAGCAAGTAGGATGAGGAAATGATGAAAATGTATCAGATTTTTACGTATTTGTTAACATTTTCTGATTTTACTTTTCGCTGTGATTTTTTTATCAATTTCACTTGCTGTCTTCTGTACAGAACGCGTTGCTTTGAATACTTTGGATTAGTACAAGGTTGGACCACTTTCGCCTTGTTTCTTCATGGCATTGATTCAACAAGGGACTAGAAACATTTCTTAGATATTTTGATTCATTCTGACATGACAGCATCAGTTTTTGATATTTGTCGGCTGCACATTCATGAATTTCCTGTTCCAGCACATCTCGCAGGTTTTTTATAGACTATTTTGAGGGATGTAAACAAAAACAATAATCCCAACGTATTTGCTGTTTTACATTTTTAATTTCTGTAGCTTCCGACAATACAAAAAGGTGCACATATTGATAAATAATGTTATGTCAGCTGTTTTAACATCAAGTTCTGATTGAATTGTCTCTTGTTACAGTTAGGAAATAGTTTGATAACATGACCACACTGAAATGGTCTATGTGGACTATGTGGTGATTGTATAATGGACATTTAAGTATAGTGAATTCTCTGTCCTGTCAAGAAGCCAGTTTGAGATTTGAACTTGGCACCTTAAGTTGGTAATAAGGCATCCAATGTGTGCCAAGAAAATATCCACTGCCTACAGGATTATACAACCACTTTGTGATTGAACGGTGGATACAAGACCGTATGGATCAATGCTTTCATGATGTTTAACACAAATTGTGTCCTCGAAGCCAAATGTTGCAGTGGAAATGCTGGCTCATCAGACCAGGAATTTTATTTATTTATTTTTAATCATCCAGTTTTGGTGAGCCTTTGCTAATAATGCTTTAATGTTAGTTTGCTTGCTGTTTTTAGATTTTGAACCATTATCTGGTTATGTGTGAAAATACCAATTGATCAAAGACACAGAAGCCGTGGTCACACTGGACTTATCGCCCCTTAGACTTTTATTATGTATTTTTATTTATGTATTTTTGACAGACATTGCGGTTTTGATTTGCGATTTAATTTTGTGCTCAAGCTTCAGCTCAATAATCTGTATCGTAGCTTCTTACGCCTAAAATGCAGCGTTATGCTAAAATGCATGTTAGTTAACTGCTGAAAAGATATGAACATGCCTAAGTTAAACATTTATTCAAATTTGTTTTTAAATATTCAGAAATAAAACACTCATTGTTTATTGAGCAAACAGTAAACACAAAAAAACTTTCTGTAAACATGTTAAACTCAAATTAAGGAGATTGTACTTTGCTGTTGTACTTTGCTTGTTACTAGATTGAGTTTCACTGGCAATACTTTTTCAATAGTTTTTTTTTTAGCAAGACACTCCTCATATAGCTGCCTGTGGTGCTTTTTTAGGTGCTGGTGGTTGTTGTATTTCCTCGTGCCGTGGCAACAATTCTTACAAATTATCTGTTTTTGTTTGTCTTTGACTTTGAAACAAAAATATTCCCATATTACAGACATGCTGTTATTCTTTGATATTATTAGTCTGTTAATGCTTTTGAAGCTATAAATGCCATCATCTCAATTGTTAGCGCTTTCCTATTTATTTATTTATTTTTTTAATTAGTTTTTTTTTATTGTGGGTGTTCTGTTTGATTGCACAATTCTGATTGGGTAGAACGAAAATGCGCTCACTAAATTGACTTTCACACACAGACAGCAGTCACGCATTTGTTCTGGGCAGGGGAAATTAAATATTACATATATATTTCATATCGCAGCCTCTTGCAATTAGCTAATCAAAACATTTCAAATTGCGATTCGATTTTGATTAATCGCACAGCCCCAGTTCGCTGCATTGCAAAGTTCAAGCTTGGTGAACTCTGACCTGAGAATCACATCATGTGACTGCGTGAGACCAATCGAAGATCAAAACGTGACCTCTCTGGACCGAAATTTTAAATATGGAAAAATTACATGTTTTTTAAATGTTTAATCCTGCCCCTTTTCGCAGCGCTATACAACAGAATTTCACATGCTCAAACTAGTGTGACTGGCAAATGTCACTTAAATCACCTTTCCTCTACAATCTGATGAAGCTCAGCAGATCTTCCTGACTATACTTGCATTCCTCAATATGTTGAGTTGCTGCAATGTTATTGGCTGATTAGATATTTGAATTAAATGGTGCTTGAGCAGATTGTGACTATAAATGATCTGCTGAGTGTGTTTGTGACAAGTTACTATAAATTAAATTTAATAGAGAGTGTTACAGTTTGCATACTAATGGATAGGCATGAAACGATAATCGGTTTCAAGGTTCACCGCGGTTTGTAATTTTCAAGGTTTTAAAAGTGCTAAAAATGTTTGTTATACCATTAGTATATGTAATAATTTTGTATGTGTTTTTTAATGTGTTATACAGAAATCAGTGTTTTTGAAATGAATGAAATAGCAGGAGTCAATGATGTATTTTAATAATTTTGCCTGACATGTTTACCGTTACCAAATAAATAAATTGTTTCCTTAAATAAAATATATATTGTTCAAAGGAGGAAAAAATGTCATGTTTTTTACCCAGACATTTAAAAGGATTATATTTTAGAGCAGTAATCACAATAGCGTGAAACTTACATGCCTTATACTGGCCCATGCCTATTAGTGGCTGAGTGCTACATGTATCACCTGAAAAATAAATGAACTGTCTTAGATAAATGTATTAATATTATCGAATGGTTTGCAGATCTATAACATTTATTTTAACTGTCATGGATGTTTTTTTAACTGATGGTCTGGTGGGGGTTCTTAGTTTAAATTGTATGAAAAGTATTTTTAGAATGAATATACTAATTTTAATGAATCATCTGGTGGGTTTGCTGTTATGTGCATTGATTTTTGAACACTGGGCACACAGCCCGCTGTCTTTAGTGAAATGTAGTGTATCTGGAGAGGTGCCAGTGTTTTCTTTATTTGACAAAGAGGGAGACAGAACGAGAGAGAATATGCGACCTATGGTCTTTTTTATTGAGGCATTTAATCAGCAGAGTTTGTAAATACAGTTTAATTAAAAATCACTCCTTGAACCTAGTTGTTATGTACATAACAGATTATTAATTTGCGCCCGACATTTAAAGGTGCACAAAAGGAAAGGTTAACCAATTATTACAGTCGTTACATTGTCAGCAGTACTGTACAGTATACTGAACTTGTCATTTATTTGTCATATAAAGTGCACTGGATGATGGAAAACCTATATTTTTTCCTTTACTTGGCATGTTGCCAATTTGCTACTACTTTTTACAAGACGTTTCAAGTTGCAGAATTAATTGATTTATGTTTAAAAACTTCTAAGAAAATGACTAAAACTAGTCCAAACTAAAACCCTCTTTTTGTTTTCTTCCACAGATTCTCCTGTTTCCATCACTGTCTACAGGAAGAAAGAAAGTTCAATGCCAATGTACTTTAGCACTTTTGGCTGCAACTCAGGAGTCACGATATCTTGATGATATATGCTCGTTTTTGGTATTTAAACGCTGGCCAGCCATCCGGACATAACCTCAGCATCTTATCGGCTGCCAATCATCAGTAGGCCAGCACCGGCGGCCAGCCATCAGAGATTTGTGAGTAGTGGCTAACCACTAGCATTAGGTGGTTAGCGTGCGGCGTCTATTAGCATTTCTGTGGGTGTTTAGAGTGGAGAAGACGCGAATGGGACACGCCAGCCTTCGCAGACAGCCTGAATGGGAGAAGGAGTGAGCATGGACAACCTTTCGGAGTTTGGAGGCCTTTGTCCGTCCAGCCGGAGGGAATGGGAGTGAGTCTGCATTCATGTGTTGAAACGCTTGTCCTGTTTGTCCATTTATAATTCATTTGCTGTGTTGTTCTGTGAGATGATAAAGTTTTTTTTCTGTATTTGCAGCACAAGCAGTTGTGTGGATGATTTAATGGACGAAGATGAGAAGGACAGAGCAAAAAGGTCTGTGTGTGTTTTTTGACTCTTAATGCTAACAGTGCAAGTTATTCAGCGACACGTCGAAAAATAAAAGTCTCACATTAGACTGTAAACCTGTGAACTTTAATTGTGTCCGGAGATTTTAAAGAAATCACACCTCTAAAAGCTCTTCACACTTTCACTCGATATAATAGATTTTCTTTATGAAAGAGTGTCTAGAAAGAAAGCAGCAGAAAGAAAATGGTATGGGTTGATAGGATGTTTTTTTTTTTTTGTAATGGGAGAAATGTATTTTTTTAATATGTTTTGCACTGAAAAAAATACTGTGAAAATGAACAATATTAATATTAATTATAACTTTAATAACAATTTTATTATTTAAAAAAGGAAAAGCTGTTCTTTTATATTAATAGTGATTCCCTTCAATCAAAAAAAAAAAAAAAAAACAGTAGTTTGTCAGCTTGTATAACAATTGTCCGCCACAGAAAGATGGCTACCAGCACAGTGGTTTTAGATCAAAGGGCCTTAAAGGGCACCTATGATAAAAATCACCTTTTGTAAGCTGTTGGAACAGAAATGTGTGTGGGTATAGTGTGTTCACAGTCATATTGGCATGACATAAAGACAATAAGTCTATTTTTTTACATTTCCTGATGTTAAAATAGGATCTATATCCCTCCCATTTTAAGGCCCACCACAACATAACGTAGGGGTTTCCCCGCCCACTGAATCGATTGACAGTCGCACATTAACATGTCTTGTCTGCGTATAATCATCATGTGTTGAGCTCTCTGTGATTATCAATCATAATCAAATGTGCTCAAGAATGAGTTTTACAAGTTTAACACATTATTAAGCCAGTGCATGTCTGTAATAAAGTACAGACAGTAAAATCGATATGTCATTCATCACCACAGCAGCATGTCAATACAATTATAACAGAAGATGCTTTAATCCCGGTTTGTGGAAAATCTGGTTTATTTTGTACATTTAAATAACGGATATCCATACAGCAGTGGATATTAATGTGTATCCTGTCCCATTTGCAGTGCAAAAACAGTGGAAAGTTAAAAACGCATGCTGTGTATATGTGTGTGTGAACATTGTAACGACAGTGAATACGTTTACATGGACACCTATAATCCAATTTTAATACGATTAAGACAATACTCTGATTAAGAGTGTACCATGTAAACATCAATTTTTTATTAATTTAATCTGATTAAGGTCATAATCAAACTAAATTGAAATAGAATTAGACATTTGGAGTATGCCGATATTAGTCGCATTATTGAAGTGCAGTACAGACATGTAAACACCGCAATCAAACTATTACCGTCATGTAGGACGTTTCACTGCGTTTTGCGACAGGATAATCCATAGACGCACGGCTGTTTGACACTATTCTCTGCACTTATTGAGTCAGAGAAGGACCACAGACACTCGCAAAATGCGAAGGTTTTTTTTTTAATCAAATTCTATTAAAACAACACTCTTTCAGCAGTTCCTTGCATCCAATATCTCGTTTCTCTTGGTAGGCATTCATGAAATGTACCTCAATGAAAGTGAAAGTGCCAAACTGGAATTAAAGTCGAGGAAGTAAAAATGAAACACCTGAAATTACATGAAACTCTGGAGGTAATCAGGTAATGACACAATGACGTCAATCGAATTATGTGCTATAACATGTAAAACAGAATCATGAATGTAACATTTAAAAAGCAACTCGTGTAAACACCTTAATCATTTTATTGTCTTATTCAGATTAAAGCAAATACCTTGAATAATGTAAATGTAATCACTGTGTGTGACTCGTCGTTGCAGAAAGGCTTGAATTAACTCCACAATAAATACATCAAATAATCATTGGGAAAGTTCTTTTTGTAGTATTTCCTCACAAATGTTATGTTAGAGCTGGTTCCTTCATGTCTGTCACTGTGCTGTTTATCTGACGCAGCAGGAGATGGAGACACACATCAGAGCCATAGGAAGCGATCTCTGTGGCTCTGACAGGCACGTGGGAATGGTGGGCAGGGAGAACTAGCTCATTTGCATTAAAGGCACAGGCAACAAAAAAACAGCTACATTGTGTGCAGAGCTGAAAATTCCAATATTCCGAAAGGTATAATAAATAATCTGAAAAGTGTTTTGGGCTGAAACTTTAGTTGAAACACATTCTGGAGACAAAAAAGTCTTTTTTTAAATCTTGATAAAGGACTAAAACAGGTGCCCTTTAAATTATGAATAAATTGTTACTTTTGTTCCATTTACATTGAGCATTTTTGTGTAGTTGTAATTTTTAAATAGTAGTTTTCAAATGAAAACCAGTTCCTACAGGCATACACAATTTCAATATCTAATAAATTCATCAAGGTAATCATTTATTTCTGTCCATCCCTCTTTTTTATGCAGGGCGTCCCGGAACAAATCGGAGAAGAAGAGGCGAGACCAGTTCAATGTTCTCATTAAGGAGCTGTGTACAATGCTGCAGGGTCAAGGTCACCCCCGCAAGATGGACAAATCCACCATCCTGCAGAGGACCATCGACTTCCTGCAAAAACAGAAAGGTCAGGGAGGAAATCATATCATTTCAAATCATTCAGTTTTCTTGTATCTAAATATTCTTTGTTGATGACAATTATAGAATCTATATTGGTGTCTATTTATAATAGAGCTGAACAATGTTTTAAAAAATGTCGGTATCGCAATAATAGTATATGCAATCACAGAGAAGAATTTGTGTCAAGCATTAGTGTGTAGCAAACATAGGTTGTTTTTCAAAATTTTAAACATCAAAGTTCCTGGATTATTATGTGGATGCTAATGGTCTAATCCAATTCAATGATGTATGCTAAGCTAAGCTAAAAGTGCTCCTATCAAACCCGGCTGAATGGATTAAATATGGTACAACTCTACTGTTTAACCCTTTCACATGTGAGTTGTACAGTAAATACTCCAGGTGATCCTCCTGCGTGAGTTTTTTTATGACCATTACTTAGAATGCATTGCATTCTAAATTTCCCATGGCTAAGTTTATCACGTGACCCACCAGCCCCAATGATCTATGTATATATAGTATTTTGTTTCTTTTTGTCCTTTTCTGTAAATTTTTCTACAAATGTTATTATATTGTGAAATTTCTAATACTCTGATTCTAAAATATGTGAGAGAACATATATTTTGTCTTTTAAACAGCTTAATAAATTGCATTATTTGTTATATGATGGGTAATGGGTGATGCCGTTGTTGCTAGAAGAAATACAGCTGTCATCGGAACTTAAAGGGAAGTATTTATGTTATTTATTAAATTATGCATCAGTTTATTAATCTTTCACTACCTCAACATTCATGGTAATGTAAAAACATTAATTGTTGTACAGCGTCACAAAATTTATGCTATATTAACGTGAGTATCCTCAGCTGTATATCATCTAGGCTTCACTACTCTGCAGGAGAGGGTAAAGTCTAGATGGGATACAGCTGAAGATACTCACGTCAGTATAACACAATTTTGCTTAATTTAATAAATAATATAAATACTTCTCGTTAACTTCCGATCACAAGATTTGTGAGATTTGAATTTTAGCAGTTGATGACGTGTGCTCTGGACGTTGTAATCACACCAGTGTGATTGTACACTTCAGAGACCAGCCAAGGCTGATCACACCGGTGTGATCGTACGCATGAAAGATTTAACTCTAGGAGGAGTTTAAAAATTAAACAAATAATGAAACAAATGAAATAAAAATTGGAGTGCCCCTTTTAAAGTCTTATGTTTACACCAGTTTTTTTGTCTTAATTAGATTAATTTAAAATCAGGATGATCATTAAATTTCTAAATAAACATTGCATTTCTCTAGGGAAATGTTATAGCACAAGAAATATAATTATTGCAATATTAAACATCCCAAACTTTCCCAGTATCACACATGCTTATCGTTTAACTTGCCAATTTGAATGAATTTTCAGGTTGATGTGTTTTCGATGTATTATATGATAGCTTCATTCCATACATACTTGCTAATAAAATTGAAAAAGTAACCAACAAACCCAAGTCTATATGTCACTCATAACGTCTAACACAAGAAGAGTTGGTTTTCATTTCTCACTGGCACAAAAAACACGAAGACGGGAATCATGATTCTGTTCCTCATGTTTGTGCATGCAAGGAATATTCTGCATATGTGTGGTCTCTTGGAATTCTGGAGTAGAAACACCTTTCGGCATTCAGATTAACTTGTTTTTCCAGAGAAGTAGAGAAGTAAACCTCATTAGAAGACAGGCAAGTCACAGACGTTTTGTTTAGACAGTTGGAGTTGATTTGATTGGGCCGTCTCACATCAGCGACGTCATGCTATTACTGCCAAAAAATGGATTTAGATTTTATTTACCCTCTTATTAATTTTAGAACCGAATAATATTTTGCATTCGGTGGGAGGAGCCAACTCCTGCGATTTCTCCAGGGAGTGTCACTACCAACACCTCTGTGTGCCAGGAGCCGCTCTCCGATGGGCCCGCTTCCATTTCCTGTCTGAATCCAGGGCACAGCTGTCAGGCCGTCGGCAGAACGTTTGCTGGCAGCACATTTCACAGCTCCTACAAACAGTGCCATTTTCAACTTCCACCAGTCTCACACTTCCACAGTGCTTGATTTCCATTTCTGTCCATTTTCAGCCATGCAATGCCTTTCTCCGAATTCCACAATCAGGTTCTCACAGCATTCCGAAATGTTTTCCTGCTGTTTGATGTTTTCCAGAGATCACGGCACAAACAGAGTCTTGTGAGGTCCGGCAGGACTGGAAGCCTTCTTTCCTCAGCAACGAGGAGTTCACCCAGTTAATGCTGGAGGTAAAGCAATCTTCTATGCCTTATATCTGCCTCATAAAGCCTCAGTTTTTTTGTAGCCTTGTGAGAAAACGGTAAGATACACTTAATGTCAACACATGTATTTGCGAGGCTATGAGATGTCCTATAGCACAGCTTCAGGCTCATCTGTGTAGCATGCTTGAAAGAAAAGCACATTACAAAAAAATAGAGTCATACACATTTAACTTTAACCAAGAAGCAGAAATACAAGATGCGAATATACTTAAAATTATGTAGAAAAAGAACAATAGAGGATATGAATATGCTTTATGATGCAGAAATACAGGATATTAATATATAGTCAGTCTGTGAACTGCATTCCTGTAGCCTGAAACCCGGAAGTTGAGCTTTTTATGGGGCATTTTTCTGAATTGTCCTGTGAGTTTCCAGTATTAAGGAAACATTCACACATGAACACTTCCTTTCAAAAACAACCTCTGGCTCTTCTCAGTTCCCAGTCTCAGACTGTCAAAGGTGCAACTCTGATGATTCAGCCTTTTAGCAGCAGTGATGTGGGAAGATGTTATGGCTTGGGGAATCCTTCAGTTACTTCTTGTTACATAAAAACAACAGTGGAGAAAAAACAACAACAACTGTGTAACCTCAAGAGCCTGATAGACAACATTCTGCAGCTGCCTGGGTTTTCCATGACCGGTATGCTGAACTTCAATATGAATGAGTTATCTTGCAAATTGATTTAAATGAATGTTTCTATGTGTGGGGTAACACAAACATGATATAAAGTTTAGCTCAGTGACTCACTGAGTAATGACAGAGTTTTTGTGTGAGCTATTTTTTAAAGAGATTCTAAATGCTGTTAATTTACTTGCCCTCAAGCCATCCAAGATGTAGGTAACATTTATAATTCAGTAGTGTATTTAAGAAAATGTGCTTAACAGCTGAAAATATGGTGCAAATCAATGACTACTGGGATTCTGAGAGTTAAATAAAATATATAGAAAGAAAAACTAAAGTAGTACTCGGGTATTGTCATGTGGATAAACTGACCCTTTTAATAACGGCAAAGACTGTTGAATACACAAGACATGTCATTTGTAGAGTTTTGAATAGGGTAAAGTGTAACGGTTAATATGGCAAATGAAGCTCTGCATATACTAGTACAGAAGCCAATCATCGTTTCTCTGAGGGAGAAGCTCAGACCAGATGTGTGCTTTTACGACAGTTTGGTGGTCAACAAACGCATTGGAATCATGGCGAACACTTGCTTCACAGACGTAAGAAATATATCCAAATAAAGCTTGAAACATAAAGGTTTTTTGGTTTGGTAATCGTCATACAATGAATGCGAGGTGCAGTCCGTCCTGTCAAATGCATGTCACATGACAGCAACTACTAAAATACCCACAAACTAGTAAACAAAGAGTCGCTGTCATTTCTGGAGGAGATTCACCAACAAGACCAAGTTGTAAATTACTTAAAAAGAGCATCGCAATCAGACCATCATTATTTAGAGAATGATAATGTGTAGAATAGCCATAAACGAGGTTGGTGTCGTGATCTCTTTCTTTCGAGTGCGCATGCACATAAGCTCAGGCAACCTAAAAAACTTCCCATTTTGTTTGATTTGAATGTTTAGAAATTAAACTCAGTTGTCGATTAATTTTATTGGTGATTCTAAATATATAATGTAATGGTAAGGGTAAGCTTGGCAAACAGTTTTTGAGAATTTGATGTTTCCCCAGCGTTTCAAATTTGGCCGCCAAAAGAAATGACCTATCTTAAAGGGACTTTAATAACAGTGAGCAGGAACAGTGTCATCAGTGTATTATAACTACAGAACGGTTAAGCTTTTGATAAAAAAATAGGAATTTTGAGCAAGATGCTAACGGTCAAATTTGATTTAAAAATGTATGCTAAGCTAAGCTAAAAATGCTCCCATCAGACCTGGAGATCAGCTGAATGGATTCTGAAATGGTAAAATATACTGTTTAACTTGTGGGGAGGGGTAAAATAAGCCTATTATTTAAATTAAATTAAATGTTATTGTTATTATTTTTAAAGTAGTGGAGTGTTCCTTTAAGTTTAAAGTCTAAATGTTTCACCTTAAGAGTTTTTTTTTTTTTTGCCTAAACTTGATAACATCAATTTGTATGAGAATTTCTGCTCATTCATGACATCATTTTGTGTGTTTATGGCAGGCGTTGGATGGTTTTCTAATAGCTCTTACCACAGATGGGAACATCATATATGTATCTGACAGCGTCTCGTCTCTCATTGGCCATCTGCCGGTAAGTGAGACTCCAATGCAATAAATTTAGCTCGACTGAATAAAGTAAACTTGATATAATGCATCACATTTTATAAAATGACCTTCACTATTATGATCGTCTAGCAAACTCATGTTATTAGTAATATAACCGTCATCTTTCTCAACATAGAAAACACCGCCCACACAGCAGGCTTTCTGTAGGATGTTGAGAAGCGTCCCCTGGAAATGCTTCATGTTTATTTTTTCTTTTATTTTGAATCATGTTTGTACAGTATCTGAAAATCATAATATTATGCTTGGAGATGTTTTTTTTCTGAGATCCTCAAAGCTGAAGTGGAAGCTTCTTGGCAGTTATTACAGAGGGGAAAATAATAATTACTTGAACCACTACTCTTAACTTGGAAATGCATTAGAATCCATTCAACCTGTGATGGCATACTGACAGTCTAATGGGATTTGCCTTCCAAACTTTAGACTTTGACATTAGATCAGTTCCTGCTGTATGTGGGTCACAAATGCGGTTTGATAACACTAATGGTTCCTTTTCTTGGTGTCAAACCCTTCATGACCTTTGCCCTAAAGAAACCTGAAGGCTTAACAGGCCTTTGTTATTGAGTAACAGAACAAGCTGAGCTCAGGTGCCACCGAAGGTCATGTGTGGCCATTATGGATGTACTGAGATTGTGCTAATACTCTTATGATTTCAGCGGCATGCTGATTAAACGGGAACCAGTCCCAGTAACAGTGCTATTTTAGAATTGGTTATCGTTCTATTTATATATTATTAGCTTTGTGTAGTATTTATGTTTTAAATTATTAATGCTTTCATTGTTTGTTTTTGCTTCACATTTTTGTGTTTGTGTTTATCTAGAGCTTTATTACATTATAGTTAATTACTTTTGTATTTTACTGATTTACTCATTATTTACTGATTAATGATACAAGGAGTGATTCATCATAAAAAGGCATAAATTCATTAATTCAGCCATTGTTTTAAAAATAAAACCATAAAACTACTGATAATGGTAATATTAAACATTATAATGACGACAACAATATTAAAATAAATAAAGACTTCTAATATAATAACAGTTATAATAATAATAATCTTAATAATAATAAAAAATAATAACATTAATAATAACAATAACGTTAATAATAATAATAATACTTAAAACTACTGATAATAATAATAATATTAACCATTATGATGACATCAACAATATTAAAGTATATAAAGACTTCTATGATAACAATAATAACAATAATAATAATAATAGTAATATTATTAATAATAATAATAATAAAAATAACGTTAATGATAACGATAATAATAATACTTAAAACTACTGATAATGGTAATAATATTAACCATTATGATGACATCAACAATATTAAAATAAATATAGACTTCTATTATAACAATAATAAAAATAATAGTAATAATAGTAATAATAATAATAATATTAATAATAATAATACTTAAAACTATTGATAGTGATAATAATAGTTATCATTATGATAACATCAACAATATAAAAATTTTTTAAAAGACTTCTTTAATAATTACAAATTATAACATTAATAATAATAATAATAATAAAAATAATACTTAAAACTACTGATAATAGTAATAATATTAACCATTATGATGACATCTACAATATTAAAAAATTTATAATATATATTATATAATATAATATTATTTATAATATAATAATAACTATAATAATAATAAATAATAATTCATAATAATAATTATAATATTAAAATTTATCTACTAAGCAATTGTTATTTCATTTTTGTGATTGTGGTTATATATATATATATACTGTAAGTGCTATGTATTGTGGGAAATGTATTGCACAGTGTAGTCCTTCTGAAAGAGAGTAACTTTGTCATATACATTGCTGTGTCTTAGTCAGATATGGTGGACCAGAACATCCTGAACTTCCTGCCAGAGCGAGAGCACGCAGATGTGTATAAACTCCTGTCTTCACACATGCTTCTGACTGAGTCTTCTACTGTAGACCTGCTCAACAGCAGTGAGTAAACTGCGCATAAACACACACACATGCACAAACACACAGACACACACACACACACACACTAAAAAAGAATATGTCGTTGTATTTGTCGGCTGTGTTGTGCTCCATGATTACACTCCAGGCTAATTATAGAGGCTCCGTGTGTGCAGTGTAACACAGATTATCTGTTACCACACTCTAATAATCCCACATACAGCTCTTACCCTGACCTCAATCCCTGAAACACACACACACACTAATACTGGGATATACTGGTTGAAAAAAAATGGACAGAGCTGACTTATTGATCTCAGTCAATCACAACAAGCACCTACTTCACTGGTCAAACACAACCACATGCAAACACACAAACACAATATGTACACATAAGGACACACTTTCTGCTGCATGGCTCACTACTGCACTTCAGAATCATGAAAGTCACACTGAGGCCACAGCCATAGCAGACCATTAAAGCTGTAGTGTGTAAACTTTTTGGTATAAAATTATTCAAAACTCATTTTTAAACTAGTATATAACCAGCCAGTGTTCAAAAACATGTCCTCACTTTAACCCTGAATTACAATAGCAAGCCTGTAATAAAGGTTTCTCATTTGAGTGCTACTGGTAGGTTTTCACTGGAAATATGAGCTTGCCACCTTTCATCATTAGGTCACAATTGTATACATACAGAAGGACTCGCGGCTAGTAGGCTAAATGAGGCTATGTGTAGAGCTGCAGGTTACAGGTCAATTATAGTCTTGATAATTATTCTTTTAGTTTCTTTTTATATGAAATTCAAATGGTGAGACCATTAAAGATTAGACTGTAGAGAAATTTAATTCTACAAGTAGTGCTAATACACACTAAATACACATAATTGTTCAATGATGATGTTAAGATGAACAGCTTTAGAGTAAAGCATAACAAAAATAATTAGCATTTTTGTGATATGAGCCTTCAACTGATATTTAGGGTGTACTTACACTAGGCACAGTTGTCTTAAATCTAACCCAGGCGCAATTGTCCCTTCTTTCCTCTCCCCTCGGCCTGCACTCACACTGCATTCTTTGCCTTCCGAGCCTGAGCATGCTTATGTCCACGATGATGCGACTGTTCAGTTTAACAGAAGAGAAGCGCTCTCGCTCCGTACAATGAAGATTGCTTAAGTAATATTGTTTCATATTATTTTAAGTCTTTTAAAATGCAGTGACACACAGTCAAATCTTTGCTGAACAGATCCAACACTTTTGGCGCTTATAAATATTCATGAAATTCAATGAGCTGCAGGTATTAGGAGATTTGCTGAAGATGCAGCTGACATACAGCCAAGGGTTTGTATCTTTAATAAACTATGACAGTTTGCATTATTGGAAAGTAAGAATGATTAATTAATCCATATGAAGCAGTGCCTTAAAAGTGAGATTGCGTCTTCAGTTTCATGCTCAGGCACGCTTTGCACTCACACTACAAGTGTACCATGGCAAATCCCAACCGGACCGTGCTGTGACACAACTGGGCTAGAGCTGACATACTGAACCGCACCTGGGCCTGATTCAAAGTACTCACACTTGTCAAATGATTCGGGAAATGGGGGTCAAACGCGCCTGGGCACGGTTCGGATAGCCTAGTATGAGAACACCCTTAGTTATTTTATTTAGTTGGTTTAAAAAAGTGGCAGACATGCGACTTGTTTAGATGATATTAGCTGGTGAAAGTGTTGCTCACTACTAGATTGAGTGTCACTGGCAATACTTTCCACTGACTTTTTAGCAAGACACTCTTCATATAGCCACCTGGGGTGCTTTTTTAGGTGCTGGTTGTGGTATTTTTTTCAATTACCTGTTTTTGTTGGGTGTCTGTGACTTTGAGACCAAAATATTCCCATATTATCAATGTCCTGTTTTTGTTTTACATTAAATCGTCATTAATGCTAATGCCATCATCGCCAGTTGTTTGTATTTATTTATTGCGGGCTTTACGCATAGTTCGGCTGCGCAATTCTGATTGGGTAGAACGAAAGTGTGCTCACTCAATTATCTAGTAAGACTATCATACAGAAATGGAAGTCACGCATTCGCTCTGGTTGGGGGAAATTTAATAATTCACATACATTTCATATCGCAGACTCCATGCTTGGGTAATCGCAATGTTTCAAATTGCGATTCGGTTTTAATTAAACGCACAGACATACGCTCAGATATCCAACATCATAACTAACTTTAAACAGGAAACAGACAGATTTGTCACTTTTTAGGGGTCCCTTGACACATTTTCGTTGTGGGTTGCAGTATTTGTAGCATGTTTCTATGTTTGCATGTATTGTGAGAATTTGCGTTCACTGTTCACATTGATGAAGATGTTTTGCCAATTTGAAATTTTTTTTTTTGTTTGCATGTGTTTTCTTAACATTCAACCCCATTTGAGTTCTCGGCCATCAGAATCATGATTTAGCAAACCAGCGATTGTAATGCACATCTTGTCATGGAAGCAAAAACCATGATTCATTGAGAAGATACACAAACAGCAGTCATTATTGCATAACTATCTCAATGTTATTATCATCAGATGAAATAGAACTTTTCAAACTGATTTTTGTGTCGCTTATCAACAAACTACATAAAAACGTGAAAAGCATTTTGGCTACGTGATAGCACATGCTGGAGATTTACTAGAACCTGCTTTACTGACAAAAATGCGCATGAAAATTGCCTTTAATTAATCGACCAGCCATAATTTGGGTCAAACTTTAAGATGTAGACTCTGTGATTGTGAAGTACAGTATATACAGCAGCACAGTCACTGACAACCACGCACACTCTTATAAACATGCGACTCAAGCCATGCAAACATTCTTCATTTGACTTTAATTGCAGGTTTCAAACAGATGGTGACAAAGAGGTACAACTTACAGTCTGCAGTTTAAAACGTCAACTTGCTGTGTTCACCAGACAATCTGAATTGCTGTTTTATTAGCAGCTAACTCTCTCCATGTGCACTCTGTTTTCTTTCAGATGAGACACACGTCGAGTTCTGCTGTCATATAGCGAGGGGAAACATTGACCCGAAAGAACCGCCTACGTACGAATATGTCAAATTTGTTGGAGATTTCAAGTTTCATAATAATGGTAGGTTTTTATTTTTTATTTTTGCATCAACATCCGTGTCTCATTCAGCACAAACCAAGATGCTAACAAAGGATGTATAGATGTACTCTAGATCTGTTTAAGATTCGATAAGCATTTGTAGTGAGCATGCATTTTGTCGTTTCCTATGCATTTGCTTGAGGAAGAAATTTAATGAGGAGTAAGCATTTGCCTATGTTGGAATTATTGGTCTGTCCCCTGATTTGCATGTAGAATGTCATTGTGAGGTGATGTCTTTACTAATATAGAAGTTGCGAATGAGAGGAATCTTGAAACTAAAATGAACAAGAAACATTCAAAACTATGAAAAGAAAAAACATTTATGAGTCATTTATAGGGTTAGACTTGCATTCATTTAAGTTTTTTAAAAGTAGTATAAAAAGTTTATTATACGCTAACATAATTTAAGCATATTAAAGTCAATACCTATATATTTATTTTTTAAGACATTTTTAGATTTTTTTAAATGTGTTTTGTAAAATTGTTAAAAGTTTATTTCATAAAAGTAAATTTTAGTTTTTGAGTTTATATATACTGTATACATTTTCACTCGAACTGGTGATCAACAGTAAAAATTACAAATTTTATCTCTTCTCAACTAGGGATGCAACCATTATAGATTTTGGTTGTACGATTATAGTCTGATTAATAATCATGGTTTCACTATTATCACGATTAATGCATTCATTAATTTCAAAACACTACTAGTTTAGAAAATCATATGAAAACTCATATTTGAATAAATAACAGAACAATGAATAAATAAATTAATTAAAATAAGAATAAATAAAGAATAGTATTTGTCTAATGAAAATCTAAGCATCATATTAGCTAAGTATTTCATTTTAAAGAGAACAAACATAGTCAAAGGCTGCTAAACCTGTCTGAAAAGCACGTCTATATTATGCACTTGTTAACTTGTCAACTTGTTATTAACTATATTATGAACTTGTTTGGTATTTTCATTTTTAGCAAATGTGTATATTCCATACAAAGTATGAAGCCGATCAGCCAGTCCTTGTCACGTGACTCGCAGCATTTTTTCAACTAGGTGTGCCTGGAAAGCATGAGCACGTCATTCCCAATATGCGCACAAGAATATTGTTTAGTTGCAGCTGTTTTGCTGACAATGATTTAATAACCAAGACGAATTAAAGCACAATTAATAGTGAAATCATTAATCGTTGCATCCTATGTCCAACAGGGAAAACCGCCAACGATAAAGAATGCATGATCATATGGTGTCATGGCTTTAGTTTGCAAACAAAGTAATTATAATTGAAGTCAATTGGGCAAAAACAGGCATGAACATAACAAATGGTGGTAAATTTGCCCATAGCTTATTGTTGAGTTTCAAGTTCCAAAGCATTTTCCCAAAAATTGTGTCCAAATACAATTTGTCACCAAAAAATAATTTCATTTGCTGAAATACAGAGTAAGATGTGGCTAAATTAAGACTTAAAATCACCCCAAGTGGATGAAAACATCCCCAACATCACCCAAGGGTTAATATTTATCTGTCCACTGTGGGTGTTTTCCTTTAAACAGAATGTGTTGTTTTTGTGTGTGTTCCAGTGCCTCTGTCTTCATGTAATGGTTATGATCTGGCGTTTCCTCGCACGCTGCAGTCCTCAATAGAGGAGCAGGTCTGCCTCGTGGCCACAGTCAGACTCGCAACCCCTCAGTTCCTCAAGGTATACACACTCATTCACATACACACAAAATCAATATCACACACACTGCTCACTTTCACCATAACTTCAAAGAACACGCAGCCTTATTCTGTGTATGTGCATGTGTTTATTAAAGGATCTTTGCAACGTGGAGGATGTGTGTGATGAATTCACATCAAGACACAGTCTGGAATGGAAATTTCTCTTCTTAGATCACAGGTGAGTCAAATGCTGCTCCATTATGCAAACGACTCCTCTGCTGTTATGATTCTGCACGAAGCTCCTTTGGTTCATTCGATCAGAGGCTCTTCCTGATTATGTCATGCTTTTGATTCATTCATCAGCCGCTGACCCACTTACATTTGCACATTCAGGCTTTCCGCTGTCCCACGCATGGCTAGGGGTGTCATCAGTTCTGCATGTGCTTTGAATCACTTTGCACACTCTATTTTAATGTGATGTTTTTATTCGGCTGTGTGGCCATTCATAAATTTTTAGATGGAGACAATTTACTCAGGAGGCCTTCCTGACCCCCTGAGAGTTACATAACCGTGTGTGTATGTGTGTGTGTGTGTGTGTGTAATGCTGTACTTGATGTCCTGTTCCCTACAGAGCTATAATTGGACATTCGGGCTGTCTCGTCAAATGCTCTCTCTCTCTCTCTCTCTAAAGGGGAAAATATTTCATTTCTGGAGCAACAAAAATATTGTCATTTTCCAAACACTCCTTGCATTTTCAGTCAGTGTGACAGATGGTCCTGCCTACAATTGTAATTTGCTTAAGATAATCATCCGACCGAGATTAACAAACATACCTTGCTTTGAGACCATTTTTGAATTAGAAATGCATCCAATAAAACGTTTTTAATCTTCGGTGAATTTCCCCAATATTAACATTGACTTATTACTGAACGATTAAAGGTGCAGTATGTAAGTTAGAGATCTGCGCAGGACTAAATTTTGAATCCCGCACCCGCCAGGTTTTAGCCCGAACCCGACTGCTCCCGCTTACATTCAGCATTTGTTGTCCCGCTGCTCGACCCGCCTTGTTTTCTACCCGCCGCGCCCGATCCCGTTAAAGAGCAGGGGGGAGAACAAAACCGAAAACCAACCTGCTATATACCAGGCTATAACAAGCTGTCTGTTTAAACACACACACACACATAAGCACCAAGCACACACACACAGACAAAGCTCTCTCTCTCTCTCTCTCTCTCTCTCTCATTCCCGCACGCGCACTAACACACACATACACACACACACACACACATTAGCATCAAGCACACACACAGGCAAAGCTCTCTCTCTCTCTTCATTCACGCGTGCACACACACACATACACACACAGCAACAAACAAGCTAAATACAGCATCGCGCTATTACATTTACACACATACATACACGTGCTCGCTCGGGAGTCGGGAGTGATATTGCTAGACGGCCTGCTCCCGTCCCAAATTAAACCCGTTACCGACCTCTCCCGCGCTTTATTGGGAAATTTATTTCGGGACAGCCGCGGGAATGCAGACCTCTAATGTAAGTTTGACACCCAGTGGTTGAAGTAGGTATTGCACGGCCTGTGTCAAAACACATGCAAGCTCAGGTTTCCAGATTGATTGACACCAAGAGCTGTGTGCCTGACTGTCGAGCCTAAAGGCTGATTTAAATCGTGTTCTAAACAAAAGCAATGGCTCGCGATAGAATGAATATTTTCCATATTAAAAGGAGCGTTTTTGACTTCTTCACTTGAAATGTGTATTTTAGAAACAACTTTTATTTCTTGCAGCTGAACAGCAAGGGTCACCTCGAGGTAAACCTTGTGTCCTTTATTCCCTGTTAAATGCTAATAATGTGAGTTTGAATGGCATTTTACATGACATTTATTGCCATACTACTGAAAGCAGCAGCAGATACAGTGCTTTACCTCAGATCTTGAAAATAAAATAAACCATTTGTAATGTAACTTTAGAACCTGTGTGTGCAAGCCAACACATATCATGTAAATTTAATAATGTTAAAGTTAATTAAAGTTAATATGTGTTAATAAGATTATAAACCTTACCATTTCGTTGAGTGCAGTAGGCGCACTATTCTGTGCTTCTGAAGGGCTGTATTTAAATGTCTGTCATGTTGGGTCTGGTGCAAACAGCAAAATTGCTCATCACTGCAAATCTAGTCACATAGCTTATTGTAAGGACACAGGGTTACAATGTAACCTGCTCACCCAATGTTTATGTTTATAATATTTATATTATTTGCTAATTAATAACCTCATGTGGATCTCTGAATCTGCAACTCCATTCTGAGTCTCCTACTGTCCACCAGAGGTCGCATTTCGGTTGATGACTTGAAGAGCTTTCTTGACTGAATGAATCATACGCTGTTTTCCACCAAGGCAACCCGTCGTGCTGAAATATAATTGGTTTAACTGACTTTGGGCGGGTTAAAAGAACCAAAACAAAGACAGACGTTCCAGCATGTAATGTACATTTTCAAAGCAGACTAACTAACTTTACCATTGTTTGTCAGATAAACAAGAATGTTCACTTTGCTTGTTTTTTTAAATATCTGCAAACATATTATGATATTTTCATGCTGTAGAAGAGTCAACAACTTACTGTACCTACAGCACCTTTAAATCCCAAACACAGAAAACAATGACTATAAAGATAAAGATCTAAAGATGTGCGTTTTATATTCTAAATGTAAAACAACAACAGAGTTCAGACCACAAGTGTAATGATAAAAATGTAGAGAAACCATATTATTGGGATTTTTTCTCCGCTAATTAACAACAAAAGGTTGCCAGCCAGAATCCGTTCAAAAACAGTGTGCTTGTGCAATTTTAAGCTACGAACACTGTGGCGAAGCACAGCTTAAGTTTTCCACCCTCTTTACAAATATTATTTGAAGATAATTACTATAGAATACAATTGATCATACCATGGGAAAGTACGATAAAAATACATGGAAGTTATGCATGGCAGGCTGTCAAACTGAAGAATAAAAATAAAAGTACCTCAGGTATCCTGTGCTCATTTCAGCATCTTTGTGTTTCCTCCATCGGAAATGCTAGGGAAAATAGTTTGCTGTTTTTGGTCCACTACACTGGCTAATTTGATTGCTAACCTCATTTAATTGGATTGGGAAAAATTTCATTTGTCAGATGCGCTAGTTGCACACTCAGGACATCTGCTGGTTACGAGGGGGTAATGAAAAGTATGAACTGTTTTTTTCTAAGATTATAAGAATATATGTTTTAATTATCTTTTGTCAGTGTGGACATATATTTATTGTTATATTAACAGCTATCATGCTTGATGTGAATGGGGGTTAATAGTTTAATATATTGTTGCAGAAAATTTCAAGATAGTCACGACTTTGTTCTGAACTGTGTGAACAGTGTGAACATCTGCTAATTAAAATGCTTGATATCAACATAACGTAAGGTGACAGATGTAAATAACAATATATAAATATATTTCTGTGGTGATACTAGAGCACATGCTTCCACTTCAAAAAAAAAAAAAACATTGTAAATCTTGTAACAAACTAAAACATGCAGAATGAAACCTGTTTGTATAGATTGTACTGTTCGCTGGTTAGATTATTTGTTTACGTTTAGTAAAGTTCACGATCTATACTTTTTAATGCTGTTTACAAATGTTTTTTTTTTTGAGTGATAGATCTGGGAAACACTGAATCACTGAGTTTGTTGGTAATGGAAGTTGCAAGCATAGTTGGCTAATCATGTTTTGGATATTTTTATGTGGTTTGTTGAATTTTATTTATTTATTTTTTTACAATGGAAATTCTTTTGAGATTTGTCATTTATTAGTCAACTATGTATTTTTATATTGGCTACTTGATGTTCTAAATAGTAGCTTAAAACTGCAGAAGTTAGTCTTGTTAGTAAAGAATTTAGTAACAATTTACTTTAGGTCACAATTCAAACTACTGGCTTATTACCTGCCTATTGTTAAGATATTAACTTTTCAGTAGTAGTTAGAAAGTATGGTCTTATTCTGCATTCCTAATCCTACCCAGAATATAAACCTGAACCTTACCTTATAAACCTTGTACCTTACTAACTATTAATAAATAGCTAATTAGTAGTTTATAGTAAGTATATTAAGCTAAGAGTGTAAGATAATGGTTTATTAAAACAGTAAATTGTGACCTAAACTTCGGAAACTGATTTTCAGCAGCTTATGACACAATGCACTAAAATAAACACTCCAAGCACAGCGCTGTGATCGTACGCTTCACAAAACAGCCAATGCTGATCACATCAATGTTATATTACGCATTAAAGGATTAAAAGTGTTAATTGCTTCTTTCATTATTCAGCGATTCCTCCGCGTACCACTAGGAGGAAGCCCGCGTACCACTAGTGGTACGCGTACCACAGTTTGAGAACCACTGGCCTAGAGTACTAATGACAGTAATGAGCAATGAAACAAATTTAGCTTTGCATCACAGGAATAAACTGCATCTTGAAATGTGTTCAAACAAACAGTCATTATTAAATTGCAAAACTTTTACCGTATTTTTTATGTAATGCTTGTTGAGCATTAAAGGCAAACAAATCTCACAGACACTTCACACTTATACTTACGCGCCTCTCCTTTTACAAACACAAACACATACCAGACTCCAGGCTAATCTGAGCCCCCATGGTTCATTCCTTCAGCCTCAGGAGGAAGAGCACAGCTGTTTGAACGGGTGTTAAAAGACATGTAACATTTTTCACTTTGCAATTTGGGCCAATTGGCCAATCTGTAAGCCCCACCCCCTTAGTAACTGTTGCTAACTCTGACAAATAAACATTGCTAATTGTCTTGCAATGACAGCTGTCACCTTGTCCCAAAATGTTTTGATATATTTTTGACACAGAAGGACCAGCTCTCATCAAGGAGCATTAATGTATTAAATATTGCTTGGAGTAATATATAAAAGATTTGAAAATAAATATGGTGAATAACAAGCTTAAAGCAATACTTCACCCAAAAATCACCATCACGCCATTCTCTGTGTATATGATTTTTTCTTTTTCTTTTTTTGTCAGGTGATCACATTCGAAGTAGTTTTAAATATTATCCTTCTCTTATATGCTGTATAATGGTGTTGGATAGTGACTTTTATTTTGAAGCTTGCAAAACTGTGTGAATTAATCATTTAACTAACCCAGACACAGCCAACAGGTTAACAAAAACATTTGTAACAAAAACATTTTAGGACGGATGATGCATGACACACAATTGAGACATGCATGTGGCATTGTAAGAGTAATATACTGGGTAATATTATACAGTAACACTAAGCTAACTATTTTTCCTGTTTGTTGTCATCTTCTGTTGTAAACAAACTGTGTGGTGAGTGGTTCACGTATTTCCAGAGCTTCCGATACGAATGAATCAAGCATATGTTGTGCAAATCAGTAATCACACATCGCCAGAAGTGGTGTTTATAATTTTAAAGCATAGGTCTCAAACTCAATTCCTGGAGAGCCACAGCTCTGCGCAGTCTTGTTCCAACCCTAATCAAACACAACTGATCCAACTAATCAAGGTGTTCAAAACTACAAGAGACTATTAACAAGCTGTGAGTTGGAGGTGGTTAAAGTTAAACTATGCAGAGCTGCGGCCCTCCTGGAATTGAGACCACTGTCTTAAAGTATTTCTGTTACAAACACTCATCGATCCGCTTCGTGAGACATGTATTAACTTCATGAGTTAGTTTGATGTTAGATTTATGTACTTTTGTAAACTTCAAAATAAGAGTCACCATCCAAAAAAAAAACATTATTTAGCTTGGAAGACCTGGAATAAAATTGTAAAGTATCCTGTATTACTAGAATAGACTGTTTTTCTATACCACCTTAAGTGTTATTTAAAGACTTAACTAGGTTAGTTAGGTTAACTAGGCAGGTTAGGGTAATTAGGTGAGTCATTGTATTACCTTAGTTTGTTCTGTAGACAGTCGAAAAAAATATATGGCTTTAAGGGACTAATAATTTTGTCCCCAAAATGTTTTTTAAAAAATATTTAAACTGCTTTTATTCTAGCCAAAATAAAACAAATACAACTTTTTCCAGAAGAAAATATATCATCAGACATACTGTGAAAATTTCCTTGCCCTGTTAAATATCATTTGGGAAATATTTAAAAAATAAACAAAAAATCAAATGGGGGCTAATAATTCTGACTTCAACTGTACACTGAGGAATTTGAAAGCGAGAGATTCAAACTAGAGAAAACACATCACGCCATCACGATCACAGATGACATTACAGCATCAACACTGTTCATGAACGACACCGTGAATAGAAATCAATTGGCATTTAACTCCCTTTGCTAGTTTTGCTTTGCGTTAGCTATTGTTACCAGGAGAAAGCTAACAATAGGGCTTTTTTTTAACTAACCCGAGGCAGAGCTGGTTACTACATGACTTTAGGTGACATTAGCAGAGTTAATAGCATTGTTTCTTTGACACACCTAAAGCCTCTAAATATTTAGGTGACATTTAAAAAAAAATCCATTACCTATCCTTTCATGATACATGAAATCAATGTTACAAGTATTCGAGGCACATGGTAAAGCTATTTTTGTTTCAAAAACAAAATCAAACCAAAATCTTTTAATGATTATTGTCTGAGTTCCGGTTCCCATGCAACTGATATTCAACTGCCATTGGCTCATTTGCCTTTGAGGGGTGGGTAGGGCTTACTGATTTTCAGAAATCAAAAGAAAACTCTCCGGATACTCCAAGTGTATCTGTCTGCAGACTGCAAGAGAGGGGCGTAACATGAAGGGGCAAAACTTGTTGCAAGTTAGAGGCATAACTTGCAGTTATCGAGATCCCATTTAACCAAACGAGATGTCACAACGTGATGTTGTTGGCAAGATAGTGGAAATACTTAGCAGAGAACATTTTTAGCAAATGTTTTCATGAGATTTCTCCAAACTTATCTACAACCAATTCATTTGATATATTATTATATTTTAGAATTTAGCAACTCCACCATGAAACTCATAGGGTTGGGGTAGGTATAGACGTTAATAACTGTGATGGTTGGGTTTAGGGTTGGGGTTGGTACAGTATAGATGTTAATAACTGTGATCATTGGGTTTAGGGTTGTGGTAGGTAAAGACGTTAATAACTGTGTTGAGGGTAGTGGTAGGTATGGACATTAATAACTAATGGTTGGCTTTAGGGTTGTGGTAGGGTATGGACATTATTAGCTGATGATTGGGTTTAGGGTTGGGGTAGGTGTAGACGTTAATAACTATGATGGTTGGGTTTTGGGTTGTGGTTGGTATAGACATTAATAACTAATGATTGGGTTTAGGGTTGTGGTAAGTATAGATGTTAATAACTTTGATGATTGGGTTTAGGACTGTGGTAGGTATAGACGTTAATAACTGTGATGGTTGGGTTTAGGTGTGGAGTAGGTGTAGATGTTAATAACTGATGGGTACAGCGCCATCTTGCCGACAATATAGTCTTGAGACATGTATGTCTCCATATCTTTAAGGTACACCTCCACTACAAGTTACACCCCTTCTATTACGCCCCTGTCTTGCAGTCTGTACATACATACATGCATATTTATTAGATTTTTATATTAGTTTTTGAAATATTGTTGAATATGCAAATGTTTAGATGATTTATGTGTGATACAATTGGATGTGTTATATGAGAAACCTACTGTTGCATTGTTTACCAATCAAAGTGTTTCAAATTTGATTTGGATTGTAAACTTTAGTTTATATTTATTTTGGGTGTTTATTTCTCAGCCCCTCTACTCTCAAAATTGTTCCATAACAATCTGCAGATTTTTTTTACAAATCAGAAATTCCACAGTTGCCCTACCGTTTTGTGCATGTTTTTAATGGGTACAGAGAGTATGTAATAACTGTGTGTGTGTGTGTGTTTACAGGGCCTCTCCTATCATCGGGTACCTGCCGTTTGAGGTTTTGGGGACCTCGGGTTATGATTACTACCATGTGGACGACCTGGAGCTGATTGCTCAATGTCATAAACAATGTGAGTGTTATCTCTGCTGCTCTCGCTCTCTCTTCGTTCTCAAACTAGGTCAATGTACTGTCTTGGAAATTTTCTCCTGTTTGTGCGAATCACAGAGGAGCTGAAAATGGCCCCGCCAGGAAAGATGAAAGACCTTGTAAGAAGCTCTCAAGCCTTTTGTAGAGAGTGCTGATCTTGTGTGTTTGTGTGCATGCGTTTGTGTGTATTGCAGTGATGCAGTGTGGGAAAGGAAAGTCTTGTTACTATCGGTTCCTGACTAAAGGACAGCAGTGGATCTGGCTGCAGACGCACTATTACATCACGTACCACCAGTGGAACTCCAAACCTGAGTTCATCGTCTGCACACACAGCGTGGTCAGGTAAAACAAACACTAGCGGCATTTATATGTGTGTATGGAAAGTGTGGGCATGGCAAGCACACTGGAAAGTACTTGAACTTATTTATAAGCATATAAACAAAAACGCTTTGCTTCGCACAGTAATTTGAATTAGAGTTAATTTCATCTTTGCTTTAATATATATATATATATATATATATATATATATATATAAATATATATATATATATATATATATATATATATATATATATATATATATATATATATATATATATATATGAAGAGATCAGATGCAAAGCCCTCTAAATCCATCAGACCTCTTTTCTTGTGAATAAGCATTTTCTATCAGGCTCATATAATAAGGTTCAGATGTTTCATTTCATAGATAATGAAAAGGTTATTAGCTTGTAAATAAAATAACTTTTTTTATAATTTTCATAAATGTCACTGTAGACAATTCTTTGGTTTTTAACAAAGTACATTTTCTTTTGCGTCAAAACCAGCTAAATCCACATCTGCTTTTTTTGCAAAAACCTCTAAATCCACCTATCGGGACAAGACTGTGTAATCAGTTGAAAATCACTAAAGATGCCATTAGAAATTATTTTACCAAACATAAAACACATTACACAAACCACCTAAATTTAAAAAAATGTATAAATCTATCAAGTAAGTGGCGATTCATTCCGCTGTGGAAAACCAATGAAAAAGCAGAAGGAAAATTAAAGAATGAAATCCGTCAAGTAAATGCAATAATCAGTAACATTAAACCTGACATTAAATAAATCTTAACAATGGTGTTTAGAGGCTTTTTCCACCACATCCAAAAGGTGCTCTTGGATTGAGATCTGGTGACTGTGGAGGCCATTTGAGTACAGGGAACTCATCGTCACGTTCAAGAAACCAGTCTAAGATTTTTAGCGCTGTATGACATGGCGCATTATCCTGCTGGAAGTAGCCATTGGAAGATGTGTACACTGTGGTAATAAAGGGATGGACATGGTCAGCAACAATACTCGGGTAGACTGTGGCGTTGACACAACTGGTACTTGGTCCTAATGGGCCCAAAGTGTGCCAAGAAATTATCTCCCACACCATTACACCACCACCACCAGTCTGATTCGTTAATACAAGGCAGGTTGGATCCATATTTTCATGTTGTTGACAACAAATTCTGACCCTTCAAAAGTTGCAGCAGACATCGAGACTCATCAGACCAGGCAATGTTTTTCCAATCTTCTATTGTCCAATTTTGGTGAGCCTGTGCGAATTACAGCCTCTGTTTTCTGTTCTTAGCTGACAGGAGTGGCACACAGTGTGGTCTTCTGCTGCTGTAGCCCATCCGCTTCAAGGTTGGACGTGTCGTGCATTCAGAGATGTTCTTTTGCATACCTCAGTTGTAACGAGTGGTTATTTGAGTTACTGTTGCCTTTCTATCAGCTGGAACCAGTCTGGCCATTGAGTTGCTGTCATGTAATTGGCTAATTAAAAATTTGCATTAACGAGCATGCGATATACACAGACACACACACACACACACACACACACACACACACACACACTGAGAAAAGTTTCCATGGCAACTAGCAAAAAAACATTTGTCATTTTGAATTAGTTTTATTTTAGATTTATGTTTGTTTTTTCTATCTTCAACATTTTATTTTAATGTTAAGCATTTTTGTTTTTAGATCTAAATATGTTTATACTTTTTATTTTAGTTTATTTAGTTAAAATGGAAAATGTGTTCATGGTAACTAGCTGAAATGAAACATTTTGAATTAGTTTTTATTTTATTAAAAATTTACTTTATATTTTTTCAATTTATTTATGTATTTTTTGTAAAATTTATTACTTTTAGTTTTAAGATGTCTATTTTCTATTAATTTTATATAAAATATATAATGGTAAATAGAAAATACTTATAAAATGAATGAAAAATATTTTCATTTAACAAAGTGAAAATGGAAAATATTTTTAAGTACATTTTTGACTTTTATTTGTCCCCTTAGTAATAAAAGGTATTTCAGTTTTATCATTTAAGTAACTTTAGCAACCTTAGCTAAAGGCAGTGAAACATATTTAAATATTTTTTTCTAATTAACATATTTGTAGCTTGCATCTGCTCTCAAACGCTTGTTTATAACTTAAAAAATAAAATACAGGTAGTCATTAATGCTTGTCAGCTAATTTAGTCTTTTTAACAAAGTGTGATGTATTTTTAGCCTCTGTTTCCATCTAAAGGTCAGTGTGTGTTACTACAGATTTAGCCTTGAAAATTGAGCATATTCTCTTAGGTACAGCACATAAGAAGATCAGTCTGTCCACTTTTTTTCTCAGTACATATAAAACATTCAACAACAAAATGTTTTTTTTCTCTCTCCAAAGTTATGCTGAAGTTCGAGCGGAGAGAAGGAGAGAGTTTGGATTGGAGGAGAGCTCATCTGATATGGCCACATCCTCAATCAAAGTATGAAACAAAACCTAAGAAAAACACTTGTAAGCATTTCTGTTTGTTTGTATGAATAGTTGACGCTAATGTATCATGTTTGTTTGTAGGGCCAGGAGGTGTTTTTGGACATGTGTCCTCCTCTGGAAGCTACACGGGACAGAATCAACAGCGCTCGATCAGTGTCATCACAGAGCTCCAGAAAATCATCACACACAGCGCTCTCCGACTCCGCATGTAAGAACAAACAGAGAGCACCTTAGTAAAGAGAAAAATACAATAGATAGTCATGTGATAGCATGTGTGTGTGTTTGTGCGTGCAGCGAACTCCTCAGTGAGATACACAGAAGCATGTACGTCATCCCGGCAGTCTGCTTCCATCGGCCCTGAGAAGAGCTCCAACAGAATGACACACACTGGAACAAAGGTGCAAACAAGCATGTCAGATTTCACGTGTGTTGAAGAAATAAGGATTTCAAAACTTTTTATTTATTTTTTTTATCTTGGTTTATCAAAGAGGTGTATTTGTGTACATTATCTGGGCGAGTTGGAGTGAAGTGAGTTGCTAATATTCTTTAATAAATGTGTAGTCTTTTATAATGACAAGTGGCCAAGAATTTGCATATAATAAACTTATTAGTAACCCAGATAACAAAAGCAAAAAAGAGCAGAGAACATTATTTAAACCCTAACCAAATAGGAAACATATGGGGACATTATAGAAACATTCTGGCCTCTATTCTAAAGGTTTAGGTGTATCTAAAGTGCATAATGCAAAAGCATTGTCTGAATCCACTTTTGCTATTTTAAGGATGGAAAAATAAGATCTGAGCCATGGCGCATGGTCTAACAGGGTTGTGCTTATTCTCTTAATGAGTTATTGGTGTGTTTTGAGCACAACGTGCATTAAACCAATCAGAGTCTCATCTCCCATTCCTATTAAGAGTCAGTTGCGTCCATAGACTGTAAAATATATGGACGTAGTATCCGTGACGTCACCCATAGGTTTCTGAAGAGCGCAAAAGAAGCCACAAGTAGGCGCGGCCAACCGTCGCCATTTTGGTCACGCGTCATCACACCCACGGCGGGATACCAAACAAGGGCAAAGAGGCGGAGAGTGAGCGGAGCTACAGACACCTGCTAGCATTTAGCTTGGACCTGGTTCAGACACACTTTACTTTGGGAGAAATGCTTAATACTTTATCACTTATGACTCGTTTGTATTCTGACCACTTGTGCTTGATTGTATACTATATCAATAAAGAGTTTAGACTTTTAAAAACACTGCTGTAATACATTGAGCCACTAAACATTGTTCTTATGACGTTTTTAAACGGGAGGAAAACGCGAATTACTTCCAAACACTTCAGATATAGTCTGTGTTAGTTAATGTAAGACTATTGATAAAATCCAGCATAACACTGTATGACAACGCTTCAGATGACTGTTCTAGGGCCTACAGCTAATCAATCTGACAGATTCTGGAGTGCATTACAGCTCTAAATATAAACGATAAATGATCTTAAATAAAACAAATACATGTATAGAGATGGTATATAAGTATATAACTTTACTCACATGGGAAACGGAGGCCACGTGAATGGTTTGTGAGCACAATTAAGTGCCCTCAGCATGCCATGCCATCTAATAATTGTGGGAAACAAGTCCAAAAGACAGTTGACTGTGTAAAGCCACATAAAACAACACAGAAATACGATAAATATGCAGAGTTCCGTGGCTAATCTGCAGAGGTGACGTGACGGCGACCAGCGAGACCTAACTGTCACTCAAGTGGCCACTCCCTTAATTATGCAAACTTGATATAACTTAATATAAAGGAAACGGATGAGTAATAAAAAAATTCACCCCCCTCACAGTTGTCATGAAGGGTAATATTAGCTGTATTAACCAAAATCATTTTTGTACCAGGCTGTAAACACCTTTTTTTCTGCTGTAAAGTTGGCCATTCTAACAGTGGGCTCAATTGAAATTTGCTCTGTTTTGGAGCCAGGAGCGGCCAGGACTAGCGGAATTTCGGATGAATTGCAGTTTTAGTTACTTTCGTATTGGCTTCCTGAGGGAGAGCGGGAGGTTGCCGCTTGGTTGCGTCGCACCATGGTTCATTTGCTATTTACATGGTGGACTTTGTAATTGGAAAAACTGAACGCTTCACCTAGCACGAAAACGATTAAACAGACCATCTGCAGTGCAAGGATAAAGAATGAACCTCCTTAATTTACTTTCTCTTTACTGTACTTTTACTCTTTACTCGACACCTTTACTTTCGTGGATAAGGAAACGGTGGAAACTCACTCCACTGAAGGCATCCATTAGCCTACATATTTAATTTTGTTTGTTAAGCGCAAAGATTTGTTTCAAAACAATTTCTAGATTCAGTTCTAATTTCCAGCAAATTAATAAATGAACAATGATAACGAATTGTGGTCAAAAAACTGAGTTATATCCAAACACATGTTATATTCTAATGCCCCATATAGTGATGAATTCATCTCCAAAATCCAACAGATGGACAAATCTAAACTTCATTCATTCATTTTCATTTTAGCTTAGTCCCTTTATTCATCTGGGGTTGCCACAGAGGAGTGAGCCACCAACTTATCCAGCATATGTTTTACGCAGCGGATGCCCTTCCAGCTGCAACCCGTCTCTGGGAAACATCCATACACACTCATACACTACAGACAATTTAGCCTACCCAATTCACCTGTACCGCATGTCTTTGGGTTGTGGGGGAAACCAGAGCTCCTGGAGGAAACCCACACGAACGCGAATCCTATTTCAACGTCAGGAAATTTATTTTAAAAAGAGACTAGTGTGATAAATAATAGCTTAATTTTCATATTTGATTGATTTTTAGATTTTTGAATGGTTAAATAACAAAAAACAATTACTCACCCTCGTGTCTTTCCAGTCTCCTGAGACCTTCATTTTACTTCAGAGCACTAATTAATTTGAGATGTTTTAGATGAAATCCTAGAGCTCTCTCATACTCCATAGACAGCAATGTTCCCAAGGTGATCAAAGTCCAGAAAATGAGCTGAGAACTTTTTCAAAACATTCGACGTAATTTCAGTGGTTTAACTGTAGAACAAATATGTATTTACCATTTTGTATGTTTTGACAAAGTTTTGGTTTTTTTTTCTGGTTTTTTTTCTATGAAGATGAATGAAAGTCTTAGCAGTTTTGAACAACATGAGTGTGAGTAATTAATAACAGAATAAAATTTTGGGATGAACTTTTAAGCTCTTGTAATTTCATATCAGTTAAATGTAATATTAAGCTAATCGCTAAACTAGTTTTCCTTTTTTTATTATTTTCTTGCATATTTTTGCATTGTCATATTGTTTATTCTTTTTAAAATATGGAAGTCTCTTACAGTTTGGTCTCTCTCTGTGTATTTAGACCCTGATTCAGAGACAGAGCTCTTCAGAGCCCCCGTCACTCTCTCCGTCCTGCAGTCAGCATTCAGCCATGGTCAGTTCAATCCTAACTTCTCCTATTCTCCCTCTCTTCCTTCCCACCTGTCCCTCTTTCTCTTTATCCTTAAGTAGAGCTGAAGTCTAACGTTTGTTGTAATCTTACAGCTTATGGTGAGTAGACTAGATTTTTTCCTTTTGTTTGAAGTGTCAATTCGGGCTGAACCACAAAACCTGCTGGTGCCCCTGCTGTAATAATAGAGCTGGGCGATATGGCAAAAATGCAATCTCAAGTATTCATTTCTATATTGAACGGTAACAATATATATATTTTTATATACGTTTTTAATGCTTCCACTTTTAAAAGAGCATCCCAACCATGACTGCTGGCGGAAAGTGAACTGTTGGCAGGAAAATGAAACGAGAGCCCGAAACAATACTGGGTGACGCAGCATGACCTATTTTCAGCCGATAATTTTCAGCTATGAAAAATCTGATAAATCTCTAATATCAAGTCAATTATAGATTACTGTTGTTGCATATTTCGGCTGCTTTATTGGTCCTTAGGATCAATATTGAGTAAAAATGTTATATCATCGTTATCAACATAAATTTGATCACCATTCAATATGATATCATTCATCGGCCTTGTCCTGAAGAAGAAACTTTGCACATACATGTCAACTTACACTAACCTTAAATTAACAGTCTACTTATAATCTAATGAGAATTAGTTGGCATGTAGATGCAATGTAACTTCAATTCAAAAAACGGACCATCAAAATAAAGTGTGATCAAAATATTTAAAGGGATAGTTTACCCCAAAAAATCTGATATAATATAGATGTCAGTGGCTGCTTTTTTCTCCAGCATTCTTCAGAATATATATTGTTTTGTAGTGGTGTAAAGGATCACAAATCTCACCATTTTGATCACACTGACTTTTGAGTCACGAATCAGACCATTTTTCGGATCAGCACACAATGTCATTTGCTTTCCATTTATACAACAATATTACTGCAATACCATTGGTTTTAACAAACAGAACTTAGAACCTGTAGATTTAATAAAAATTAAAATGAAGGAACAACCAGCTGAAAAAAAGGAAAATATTCATTATGAAAAATAATCTTTGCTACTGTTGCTGATGATGCTAAATATAGAAATCTAACATCTTGTACAACAGATCATATTTATTATTATTAATGATTTAACAATTCACTCATAAAACTTCATGTTTTATTATAGGTGGATCAATTTTTCAGTGACATAATTTTGATGGTTGTCTGTCGCCACCTATTGGTTAAACAATGTAATTGCTACAGCATTCACAAGCATCAAATTCCATTAAATGGTGATAAATGTCTGAACAAATGATAAATCTGAACTATAAACTGTTCTCCCACTTCTTTTTTTATTTAATTGTTTGTAACTAAATGGAAAAGTGTAAAAACTGAATCTCTTTAACACAGATTTGAATGCAGCGCTTCGAAGGATTAATAAACATATGCAGGATTAATAAACATATGCAAATCATTATCATTTATCATTCATGTTGCGTGGGTTTGAATTTTGATCAAGATCTTTTCATCTTTAATTGTGCAGCTTTACACTGAATTCTTTAATTTCTCAATTTATTAAATGTTTATTTGAGTGATTTTTGGGTTGATGAAATTAATTCATCACTTCATGTTTATTTCTGAGCTAGATATTAATTAACAGTCACACACATCTTTACCGAAGCCTCTTTACTTGACAGTTGGTCTTGCATGTCTGCCATATTTGTAGTTTATTTACACTTTTCACCCATGTTTGTATTCTGATCGAATTTATGTCCAATGTACTGTGGGCGATATCAGCGGTTAGAGTATGGATGCTTCTACACTTAAAATTTTGACCAGAAGTAGAAGACCATCCGGGATTCTTCGGCATACTCTTTTTAACATTCTATAATGTGGACATACTAATTATATTTTTAAATACTATTTAGGACAGATAATATGCTAATTGGGATGCAGCAATTGTTAGAAAATATTATCAAACCCTTACAAAATAAAACAAATATTAATATTGTACTCAACCACATACCTCATGAATCCAGCACATCTGTTTTTGTCAGAAACCTGCCATTTTTTTAAGTGTCTTCATTTTTTCCATGGCTGTATATTTGTAATATTGGCTTCAAAATCTGAAGATAATTGATTTGGACTCTATTGCATTACACATTGAATAGCTATTTTAATGTAGTCACTTATGAATTCTGTGGAAACAATAAGCAGTTTTGAGAGAAATTCAGTTTCCAGAAGGTGAAAAAGAGGCATGTGTGTCTGCTCTGGACGCTTTTTTCCTGAGTGTGTGTTCTCTGTGTTGTGTGTGTGTGTGTGTGTGTGTGTGTGTGCTACAGACTCAGTCCCTGTACAGCTTCCAGCAGCCTCAGTTAGGTGTCATGCATCAGCTAAAGGAGCAGCTGGAGGAGCGAACGCGGATCCTACAGGCCGACATCAAAACACAACAGCAAGAGCTGCACGACATTAAAGAGAAGCTGCAGCTCGCCAACCTACAGGTACAACACACAAGAGTGCAAGAGTGTATGGATGTTTCCCAGTGATGGCTTGCAGCTTGAAGGGCACCCACTGTGTAAAACATATGCTGGATAAGTTGGCGGTTCATTCCGCGATGGCGACCCGAGATTAATAAAGGGACTAAGCCAAAAAGAAAATGAATGAATGGAACTTATTCTGACTTTATATATCACCATTAGTAACACGGTGTGTTTGAATGGCTGTGTTTGCAGATGTTACTCCAGCAGCCGATACAGGGAGAGTTTGCTGGTTCTGGTCCACAGCAGCAGGGTCCAGGCAGGCCGGCTCAACAAAACACACACCCTAAACCTCAACACTGTGTTTCACATTCATCACACACACTACAACCCAACAGCTCATCCACTCAGGTATTCATCATACATCTCACTCAGGCACACAAGCGACTCCCTCCAGACACATACAGTAATGGTTGTCTTGTGTGTTTAGGGGCAGCAGAGGCTGGTTCAGGCTGGACACATGCAGGCCGTCAGTGTTCCAATGCAGACACACACCAGTCTGACCACACCCTTCTACAGCAACCCCATGATGTTCTCCCCCAACCACGGACACCGAAGCCAACATGACACACACTGCCAAAGAAACACACACGCCGACTACAGCCAGGACGGACAGCTACGGTAACAGCCTAAATACAAAACATATGTCTATTGATGTGTCTGACGTGACAATGCTTGCAAGATTCTTCTTATTTTGTTCCTCTCATTCTTTCCAGTCAGTAAAGGTTTGTGTTTTTGTATGTTGCTCAATGAGCTACAACTATGGAAAATGCGGAAGTAGAAACATTAAGAACATTTCTCCATCAGTTTCACAACACGTGTGCTGAAAATACTCAAAACACAATCAAATACAGAAAATCACTAGATATTTACAGCACAACCAAATACAGAAAATAAATTATCATACTGCAAAAAACAAATTGCAAGCAACTCAAATATTTACCGTTTGCATTACAAGTACAGACAAGCATTAAAAGAGCACACCACAACAATTTCATTTCATTCATTCGCCATATCGCTGCATGGTAGTTTTATATGCATGTTCCCTATTAACTTACTATTCAAAGGGTAAAGCCCTGGTCAGATCACATGAGTTTGTCACAATTTCCACACAATTTCCTTGATGTAGGGGGTCATGGAAATTCGTGAACAACAAAAGGGCATCTTGACACAAGATTAAATCATTTCTTCTTGTGTAATGTGGCATAGTTCACGTCAACTGATATCATGTCTGCAACGCTTTATGACACCATCGCAGAAAGTCTAGCATGTCTACTTTTTTTCCCCATTCTTCATGACTAGTTCCGACACTGTGCAATAGGAGCACACAATTTCTCGGTTATATCAGCGGGTGCTGCCATTAATGCGCTGGTCAGGTAATCAAAACAAAAAAAGGCTGCATTGTTTACTTATGCAAACTTAAACTACTTTTTTTTTTAAATGCTAATAATTTCACCTGACAGACTGGCACAAATATACAGACATCTTCATTCTCACAATGAGTTAGTGAGTTCTCTCAGTCTTTCAACAGAGTTTGTTCTTCCGAGGTAATCTGTGAACATGTTTGGTGCTCCGAATACATTGTAAAAGCATTTCATTAAAACAAAGCAGTCATTAACAGTGAAAAAGTTTAATATAGGCTTCTCTGAAACTGTGAATTTTTCACTTTAATTTTATTTAGGCTACATTATTATTTTATTTTACAAACCAACACAATCTCATGGCAATTCATGTTTTGGCAAATAGCGTACTGGTTTTTAAGTACTTTACCTCAAATGTTATTCGTTACTCTTGATTATCTAGTAGATAAAGGACCAAATAATACATTAGAATTAAGAAACAAATTATACCAAATGAAATTTGTTTCAAAATGATATTCTTTCCTAGAAAAATAAACAAATTATATTGTTTGTGCCTGTCCTCTACTCATCTGTGCGGCTGGATGATTTGTTTCGCTCTGTGGAAAATGAGGATTTAATTAATGCTTCACTGTAATTGTTGTATCACAAACCTCATTTTTTAATATGTCATTGTTTTAGGGATTATTCTTTGAGCCTCTGATTTTTTCCTTGGTGCTGTTGTGCTTTCATTTTCTCCGTCTCACTAGCGTGAAGTTCATTGTTTAATAAGCAGGAAAATGTACTGTACATTAAGATTTCAAAGAAAGTAACTTGATATTAAAAAAGTTATCATAAGTTTAATCCTATCCATGCTCTTAAATAATGTAGCCTAGTTGTCAGCAAACATTGTTGTTTATTGAGATTGAAATAATTAAGATAAGAAATATTGTTATAGCAACACTTGTGACTGCTTTGGGAAATAACGCTTGTCTGAGATGTCATGGGATGACTGATCGTGAAGGAATGTGTAGTCTGGCACATTTGTTACCCACTACAAGACGAGATTTTATCAAGACAAAATTACATAATCTGACATAGTGACTTTTGTAACCGACAATAAAAATTGTGTGATCTGACCGGGGCTTAACTCACAGGATTAAACGTGTGTATATTATTAAACGTGTGTATATTATCTCCTTATCTATGTCATACAGACAGGATAGCTGATTTTCTTTGGTGTTGTTTTATAAAAAACAATGCACACAAAATCTGAAGGCCTCTTTAAAATAATGTAGATACAGTGTGGCAATTATGGTAATTTTCCACTGCAAGGTACACCTTACCATTGGGGACTTTTTCGCTGCATTCCATACCTACTATAGTACCTGGTACTTTTTTAGAACCACTCTGGGTGAGGTTCCAAGCAAGCCATACCATTACCAAAATGTAAGGGACACACGATGCTGGTCGCAGAATCATAACTACAAGCATCATTTCCTTTATGATTTTTGTTTTTGCAAACATCTTTTACGGCTTAATCAACAGCTTATTGCTAAGAGAGAGGAGGATGAGAGGGTGTTTAAGGCTACAGCTCTTTAATGTACTGTACTAATTAGCTGTTAGCTGTGAACAGACAGTGTCATTCAAAGCGTTGAAGAAAACAGAATCCATAAAAGCAAAGGAACAAAAAAAATGTGTTTACATTAATACGTTTTAGTTTTAAAATAGTGTTTTAAATGAAAATGATACACGTCCACACTGGCTTTTCATCTAGCATTTCTAAAAAGTTCTCCATCCACACTATTAGCGGTGAAAACGCATGATCATACACACACTCTGTCATGCACTGCTGAGCTCCAGGCAGTCAATAGGTGCTTTGAGCACACCTCCCCAAGTGAGAGCAGTGCATGTCAGATAGTTCATCAAGAATCTACTGCTGGATCTCATCTCAATATAGTTGTTAAATTTAACATTTAATTAATCTTGTCTCTATCTAACGACTCTTTGGTCTTTTGAATCTATTTCTTGTTCCCAGGTAACAAAACATAAGTAAATATATTACATTTATGAAATCAAGTACACTGATTCTGCACAGTTGACTAATAATACTATATATAATAGAATTATTGATTGCTATTATTAAAACTGATATTTAGCAAAAGAGACTTTCTTATTTTTCAATGAAAATTAAAGGAGGCTGTTTAGTTATAGGCTTCGTTTTGTCATTAACATGCACACAGTGAAGATGACGGTCATATAAATATGTAGCTACAGGACGCCTAAACATTTCTGGTGTCTGATATGTTGTTAATATCAAAATGAGAATAGACAGTTCCTTCTATCATGTTTTCATTTTATTGTTAAGAAGTAGCCAGGGTGATGCGAATGACATTGTAAAGTACAGTTACCTTTGAAGATTTACCCGATGTGTCCTCGGGAGTTTGTTTTCTATATCAAACTTGTGAAGTCTGAACAAGGAAAGGATTCAAGACTGAACTTTGTGTACTTAATATTGAAAAAAGGCCCCAATCATGTCTGTAGCCATGCCATTATTTTCAGATGTCTCCGATTTCCCCATCCACACTAACAAGGAGCAGTAGCATTTTTTTAAATAAAAACGGCTTCTCCAGCATTTCAAAATGCTCAGTTTTCAGGGCTTAAAAACTCAGGGGAAGTGTGCACTGGAAGCATAACCATAGCAAATTTATACATTTTAAAACTAAAACGTATTAATGTAAATGGCATCTAAATCAAACTACAAAAAAAAGCCTGAAGTCACATATTAGCAGACATGGTGACTGTAGCCCCTTTCACACATACACACCTTTCCGGAAAATTGCCGGAAATTTTCCGGAAAGGTTGTATGTGCGAACAGGTCCTTTTTGAAAATACCGGTAAATTCGTTCTGGCTATTTTCCGGAAAGAGAAGTTGTAACATTACCGGCAATTTGCCGGAATGCTGCGCTGTGTGAATGCAGAAGGAAGATTCCCGTAATAAGCGCGTGCACGTCTAGAACGTGCTGACGTGAGACGTCTGCTTTAGCCAATCACAACAGTCAGATGCATTTACGTCCGCGCGGTTTGTGAGGATAAAAGCCTTTGAATATTTTTCCAGACACATTTAGCTGCTAGAAGTTAGTCAGATCACGTTTATATGTTCTTCTTAATGCCAACTGTGTAAATAATCATCGATGAGATGCTTATGATAAGCCGTTGTTTGTTTACCTTCAAGCTTTGCGTGCGCCTATGAGGGCCTGCACACGCACAAATTATGAACATCTCGACATGCGAAAGTGATCCTGCGAAAGTTGTTCACAATATTGATCATCCACAGAGTTTGTAATTTAGTCAAATGTTTACAAATACAAGCGCAGCGGTTTAAAGCTCATTTGTGGTGAATGATGTCAGAATTTACCGGTATTTTGGAATGGATGTGTGAATGCTCTTTTCCGGAAAATTTCCGTAACGTCCTCGCCTGTGTGAACAGCGCTTTTTTGAATATACCGGTAAAGTCGTTCCGGAAATTTTCCGGATATTTACCGGTATCACTGTGTGAAAGGGGCTTGTGTCTGGACAAAACCAGATTAAATTGTATTGCGAATGTAGTGATTTAAAACAGATACTGATTGTTCTGCACAGCACTGTATTATATGTGATGTTTTCTGCTTGATAGGATGCTGCTAAACCAGCCAATGCAAACACTTGTACAAGACAGCAATGGGGGGCCCCAGTCTTCCCAATGCACCTCAACTATTCAACAAACCAAGTGAGTGTGTGACAGCATGATGGCCTCTTTTTCAAATAAGGCGAAAGTCATTTGCAAAGTTGCAAGATCTCGCTTTACAAAAGTAGTCTGGTTTTCTGCATACGCTTATGTTGTTGTTTTTGGTGTTGTTTCAGATATCCTCTGGAGCAGCAGATGATGGCTCCTTCCTTCCCTGTGCAGCAGGTGAACTGTAACGCTGTGCTAGTCCCCTCCCCCGTCTTCACCTCACCAATCATGATCCCCCATAATAGTTTCATCACCCATCAGACCACCCCCACCTACACGACTCACCCGCCGGTTGCCCCACACAGCTTACCACTACAGCAGCCTCAGCAGTTCTTTCAGGTAAAGAAACACTAAATTCATTCATTATGGTTTGTCAGTTTGTAGGCATAAACTGAATAATGCCATATTACAGGGGTGCCAAACTCATTTTCACTGAGGGCAGCAACAAAAGGGCCTTTTATTAATGTAAGACTGTATAAATATCACTAATCTTTTGAGTGGTTTTAAATAATTGCCTTTTTAATTCATTTTAACAAATTAAAGTATTTTAAGTTATTTTAAGTTATTATAATTTAAGTTATTAGTTCATTTATTAGGTTAGAAAACTTGCATTACTCCATCAAAGTAACAAAACAATGACATACACTTACCGGACACTTTATTAGGTACACCTGTCCAACTGCGCATTAATGCAAATTTCTAATTAGCCAATCACATGACAGCAACTCCATGCATTTAGGCATGTAGACATGGTTAAGACGATCTGCTGCAGTTCAAACCGAGCATCAGAATGGAGAAGAAAGAAAGTGATTTAAGTAACTTTGAACGTGGCATGGTTGTTGGTGCCAGACTGGCTGGTCTGAGTATTTCAGAAACTGCTGATCTACTGATAATTTCAAGCACAACTATCTCTAGGTTTTATAGAGAATTGTCGGAAAAAGAGAAAATATCCAGTGAGCAGAAGTTCTAAGGGTGTGTTAATGTTGATGCCAGAGGTCAGAGGAGAATGGCCAGACTGGTTCCAGCTGATAGAAAGGCAACAGTAACTCTTAATAACCACTCGTTACAACCGAGATATGCAGAAGAGCATCTCTGAACACCCAACACATCCAAGCTTGAGGCGGATGGGCTAGAGCAGAAGAAGACCACACTGTTTGCCACTCCTGTCAGTTAGGAACAGGAAACTGAGGCTAAAATTTACACAGGCTCACCAAAATTGGACAATAGAAGATTGGAAAAACGTTGCTTGGTCTGATGAGTCTCTATTTCTGCTGTAACATTCGGATGGTAGGGTCAGAATTTGGCGTCAACTACAGTAAAGCATTGATCCATTCTGCCTTGTATTAATGGTTCAGGCTGGTGGTGGTGGTGGTATAATGGTGTGGGGGACATTTTCTTGGCACACTTGGGCCCATTAGTACCAATTGATTATTGTATCAACACCACCTGAGTATTTTTGCTGACCATGTCCATCCCTTTATGACCACAGTGATGGCTACTTCCAGCAGGATAACGCGACATGTCATAAAACGTGAATCATTACAGACTGGTTCCTTGAACATAAGTTCACTGTACTCAAATGGCCTCTACGGTCACCAGAACTCATTCAATAGAGCACCTTTGATGTGATGGAATGGGAGATTCACATCATGGAATATTTCCAGTACCTTGTTATATCTATGTCACTAAGGATTAAAGCAGTTCTGCATGCAAAAAGGGGTCCAACCCTGTACTAGTAAGGTGTGCCTAATAAAGTGGCCAATGAGTCATTAGCTTTCTTCAAATTCTTGTCACGTTTGAGAGAAGCAGAACTATGGAGCAACAATTGATTTTGAGCTTAGTTTCAAAACAAAAAATCATTGTGGTAGATTAATTTATAGTCAATATATGACATAAAGCAGCATGGATGTTTATTTTATGCTGGGTTCACAACAAAGGTGAAGCACGATGTCACTCATTCTAGATTACTTGCAGGATGCTTTTTACCCCATGTGAATTTTCTGCTCAAGTTGAATATCTTGAACACGGGATTGAAGTGACGTCACGCATTCTGCGTCAAACGCACCACCCAGTACAACTCCTGCAAATGCTAATATTTGTATTTGGTGTAAATCATATGCTCCTGGGGGCACATAAAATAATATGGGTGGTAAGCATGGGATGATAACTGATTTCAAGTTCACCGCAATTTGGTTTAAGTCATAGTTTTAAAACCACAAGGTATATGTACGATTTTATTTGATTGTTTACATATTGTGAAAGATAAGAATTGTATGTATTTATGGCAACAGTATCTCCTGCAGCATCGGAGCATCCACATCAAATGCTACTGGTCAGTCCACAATTCAGCAAACATTTGAAAAAAAAATCACTTATCACCTACATGTATGACAAGCATGCTATGGACCTGAACAGTGCAGTATTGTGTTTTATCCAAGGTTATTATACCATCAGAATCTTATACCGGCCCATGCTTAGCCTAATGGAGGCCGGATTTGACCCCTTTGGCCTTGAGTTTGACACACCCCCTGCTATATTGTGTGATTGATATTAACTTTCTCGGTTTGTCTCCTTTAGATGCAGCCTCAGGGTCTGATTCACGGCACTCCCACTCAGGCCTTATTCCACACCCCTAGTGTTCCACAGCAAAGCACTGTGGGATACGTACAGCCACAACAGCAGCAGCAGCAACAGCAGCATCATCATCACTCCCAGTCTGGCAACCTGTCGGACTACAGAAACATGCTCCCTCGGTAGCCCCGCACCACGGGACAAGCCAAGAGGCTGCTGGGAAAGCGCGTTGAGCGATTAGCTCTGAAAGGTATGATGGGAAGGGACTCTCTCGGCTCAGGGGAAGGCTCATTCCCGAGCCAAACCAAATCGAGAAAGCCAAAGTCCCTCAAATTCCCATGACAGCATATGATGGTGATAACGCCACGAGGCTCAAGGGCTCGGCCTGGCCCAGACTGCACGCAGAGGATGCTGGGATATGTAGGAAGAGCCCACGGGGCGTGACCCAGGGGCGAGACGGGGGTCACAGCAGTCGAGCACATGCTCCGATCGATTGATAAAGGACAGAAAGCCATGGAGGCTTGTAATGTTACAGCTGGTTGACGTTATCTAGACTTTTCAATAGACAAATCTATGAATCAAGTAATGCCTTGACAGAGCGTAAACTCGCTGCACGTGCTGTCACATGTTCTGTTCTCACACTCGTTCTACAAAAGAAAACGCCCACAAACAAATCAACTGCTTTCATTCATCATATTTCATGTGCTGAAGGGAAGAGCTAGGCACAGTTCAGCGAAGACCCAAATCTATTTCAAAAACACATCAATTTGGCGTCCTGTTAACGTGCGTACCAGGTTCAGTCCCCTCCTGTTGTTACGTTAACAGAAAGAAACTTGAATCACATTGTACGTTTCAAATGTAAACGATTTAAAAGTTGGCACTAGGGCAAAATTTCCTGCTGTTGAGTTCGACTCAAACCCTGTTACTCTTTGTTTCTGGATTCACTGTACTGTATATATAGTTCCTCCACAAAATGAGTTCTGAATGACCAGATTTCAGTAGCTGTATTTCAATTTTGGTGTCTAAACCAGGAAACTCCTCAGGAGAAGGTTTTCGAATGGTTTTGATTTTTTTTCAGACGTGCATGTGGTCCGCATGTCAATTTGATGTCATGTCAGCACGATGGATGTGCTGTAATGTTGAGTTTCAGTATTACACAGGGTTGAAGCTCTGTCTAATTCATGCTTCAGAGAAGAGGACTTTGCGATTGTTGTACGGTGATGGGTTGAAGCGCTGCTGCAGTGTAACTGTGCACAGATGAAGATAAAATTATAGAACGGCTCGAATGACTGAAGGCAATCATGATGTCTGGTATGTGAAAAGGAAAAGGTTTTGATCTGCCTGTGTCGTTTGGACTGTGTTCCACAAATATAAGTCAAATATTAGCAATTGTTTTTCCATTTTATTTTATTTAAAAAATCTATTTAATCTTTAGGGAGTTGACACATTAGTGTCAGGCAAAGGGCGAAACTTGATATTCTGGAATGTTGTGAACACTCAGACAAAAACAAACAGAAATATATATATATATATGACAATCATAATTCATTTCTTCTTTGCTGCGCTTTCCTCTGTCCTGTCATGCGTTGCACATCTAAAGACTGGTGCTGATTATTTTATTTTTTTAAAACTTAGAAAATTCTGTTCAAGAGAGTCTAAGATCATGTGCCCTTCTGCATGTTGTGCAATGCGAATCAAAAAAACAGAATGTGTGTAATTTATATTTATATACGAGATTTTTTGGTTTCTAGTCATGTTAGCTTTCTTGTGTTCACAAGAAAAACTTCATATTAGTAAAAGCCAGTGTGCTGCTTGAATGAAAACGGAAAGTATTTTTGTATGAAATATCCTTGACATTCCTTCAGTCACTGAAGTGTGAAAGTCCCAGACGCGCTCAGGTGTGACGTCTTGGCGCAGACGTCTGGAGTTTGCTAATCTTTTGATCAAATCAGATGTCTATTGCTGATCAAACTACACTCAAAGGAAGCACTCCAGAGATTACTTTATACACCTTCTAATATCAAATTTCCCATTACTGAGAGCTGATTGACGTCCTCATTTGAACTGTTTCTCAAAGGTTTATGAACGACGTAACTGCTTCTTCTCAGCGTTTAGTTCTGCCTCCCCTGAGTGCACTAGAGAAGATGAGGAAGATGTTTAGTGGGTTTGTGTTTTAGATGCTGGTTAGACACAAACAGCACAGATTATGACGTGCCAGTGCCTCTTGTTTAATCACCTGCTGTTCTGAGATTAGCATTGGCTAACAAAAAATGCTTTTTATTGCTATAGACATAAGAGAAACTATTATTTTTGAGTCAGATTTAACTTTTTATTTTTTCAGGGGAGCATTTTGGCTGGTTACTAGATGGTCATTATCTGGTAACATCTAGAATCAGTTACCAGTGTAGTCTATAGAAATTTGATAGATGGAATTATATGCAAATGATATACTTGATATACAAGTTCATATTTGGATTTCATATGATACATATATTAATATGTCAAATATATGTAGGAAACATATATTTCGAAATATTGCAAAAATGGCCATTTAATTTTTTTTCCAGTCTTTGGAATTTGAAATATGTAAATATATTGCTAATATAGAAATGTATAGCTAATATATTTGAACATATATGAATATATTGAAATTCCAATGGTTTACAAAAAAATGTAACTTTTTTTTTTGCAATATTTTAAAATATATGTTATATACAGTTATGTCCACAAATATTGTGACATCAACACAATTCTAACATTTTGACTATACACCAACTCAATGGATTTGAACTGCAGACTGTCAGCTTTATTTAAGGGGTATTTACATTTAAATCAGGTGAATGGTGTTGTTTTCTGTGGTCTTCCAGGATTTTTGGTGTTGTTTTGGCCACACCTAATGCTTCTGCTATCTCTCTGATGGGTAAGTTTTGATTTTCAGCCTAATGATGGCTTGCTTGACTGATAGTGACAGCTCTTTGGATCTCATCTTGAGAGTTGACAGTAACAGATTCCAAGTGCAAATTCCACACTTAAAATGAACTCTGGACCTTTTATCTGCTCATTGTAATTGGGATAATGAGGGAATAACACACCTGGCCATTGAACAGCTAAGAAGCCAATCGTCCAATTATTTTTGATCTCTTAACTAGTGGCAGGCACATATGAAAACTGTTGTAATTCCCACAGCGTTCACCTGATTGGCAGTTAAAGCATGTCTTGTTTGTTTTATTTCAAATCCATGTGTTAGTGTACAGAGCCAAAAATGTTAGAATTGTGTCGATGTCCAAATATTTATGGACCTAACTTTATAAATATTAGACATGTATGCAACATATATTTCAAAAACTTGAAAAATAGCACATTTATTCACATTTTTTCAATCATTGGAATTTGAAATATGTACAAAAATGGCTAATATAGAAATGTACAGCTAATATATTTAAACATCTGAATATAAAGAAAGTCCAATGGTTGACAAAAAAGAAACATTTTTGCTATATTTCAAAATATTTGTTACATATATTATATATTTTATGTATGTGAAATCCAAATATGAACTTGTATGTTATATATGTTATTTACATGAATCGCTTTTATGTCAGAAACAGATATAATCAGTTTTTTCCCAGTAGACTTTTCAAAATAAGCATAAATAAATCCAAAAGTTGCAATTTAAGCCAATCAGATGCAGTTCAAGTGTTCGCCATTTTACAGTGTGCATTGTTCCTTAAACAAAATCTTCTTCGTCCCTTCATCACATTTATTACCCATTTGTGATGTTTCTATTATCATTTTCCCAGCCAGGCTCAAACATTTACCCTCAAATGTCTCTTGAGTTAAAGGTTTGATTGTTTTGCAGACGTCCATGTTTTTTCACAGTGTTGTTTGCACATGCGGATGTTTGTGTCTTTGCTCTTTCTGTTCACTGATTGGGTGGCGAGTGGTAGATGAGAACTATGACTCTCACTTTTTTCTCTTATGGTCCTGTGAATCTCTGCTCTGGTTTTGGAGACTGCACTTTATTCTCTTTCCCGTCTTTATGTCTTTTACTCTCTGGCCTGGATTTATACCCCAAAAGTGTCTGTTCTGATGAGGTTTTAGGCCTCATGGGTTTGTGTGAGTGTGTGTGTTGTGAGTGTATGTATGTGTTGTTGTGTGTTACCTGATCAGGTGACATCACTCTTGCCATGGGTGGCGAGAGCGTCAATGCATTTATATTGTACCAGGTGAGAGATGGAAAACGATACCTGGCATAAAACAGCCATCTCTGCTGATACTCCGCAGAAAACACATGGAAGATGTTGTAATATAAGACATACAAAAAATGTTTAGAAAATTATAGTTGTTTATTTTATAAGATGTCAAATAGATTTAAATAAATTTATATACAGTGTATGATCTGAAAGAAAAAAAGAGGTATTTTGTAACAGATTAATTATTGAAGTGTCTTACTTTGGGGGGACGTAAAGCTTTCTGTTTGTCAGTTCAGCGAGTTGATGTTGCACAGTCCATTATGTATGGCTTGTTTGTCCTTCTTCTACTCTTCTTTGTACATATACCATCACAACAAGCTTTAACATATTGTTAATAATGTTTTAAAAGAAATTAATAATAAAAAAGTTTACATTCTGAAACTGTTTGGATGCTTTATGTTAGTGGCCCGGGGTTATTTTTACTTCAGTTCAGGCCTATGGTGGAGTTTTTAGTATGAGTTAAACACAAAGTAAACACCACAGCATTTCTTAATATTGTTGCTGACCATCTCAATCTGTTTACCACCACAGTGTAGCTATCTTGTAAAGGCTTTTTTCATGGTCCTGTCATCTTAATATTGATGAAATCTCTAAAGAATGTTTCCAGCACCTTGTTGAATCAGTTCCATATAACATTAAGGCAGATTTGAAAACAAAAAGGGCCACTTGGTGTCAGCAAGGTGTACTTAAAAATACACATGAATCTGAAAACCAGTTATAATTCAGTAACAAATAGAGTTTTCTATGGCTGGACATCATCATATAACTGTTTTGGTTTTGTATATGTAATGGATACCGTATCGACTGCTGTTGTCACAGTTAGAAATACAGTTCACCCAAAAATGTATCATTTACTTGCCTCTCACTTGTGCCAAACCAGTTTGGCTTTGTCTTGTTGAACACAAAAGATTATATTTTGAAGAAACCTGTAACCACTGACTTCAAAGTAGTTCAATGGTTACAGATTTTTGCTTTCTTCAAATATATTTTGTGTTCAAAGGAATACAGAAACTCAAAGGTTTGTAACCAACTGAGGGTGAATAAATAGTGAGAGAATTTTCATTTTAGATGAACTTTCCCTTTATGATACACAATAAAACATGTACAGACCATTTCAATATGGTACGTTATGGGCCCTTAAACATTTCCTGCTAATCATACTATATCATAACTGCAACGAGGCAGTTCAGTCATATTTTCATGTTAAAACAGCTATCATAACCATATTTATCAATATGTGGACCTTTTTGGATTCTCTGAAGCTATAAAAATTAAACATGTTAAACAAGAAAATATATTAAGACCATTGTTATTGTTTCCAATCCTCAAAATGGAATTTGTACATATGTAGTGGTAAAAAAATACGATCTTAATTCCTCATAAAGTGCCAAAAGATTGACGGAACCAGAAAAAGATAAAGCTTTAAGTTTTACCTTGATTTTTATCTGAATTTCGTTACTCCACTTTTTTTTATATAGTAATGCACTTTGGGACCCCAAACTAAATCAAAACACCAAAATGAAACACCCGAGAGAGCATCACCGAGAGCGTCGCTGCTGTGTCCTCCACGCCTGTAAGCGGCGGTGCGGTTTACCCTCAGTTTCATGACGCCCATCCAGGAAGAAGAAACACGAAATCACCGCGCGCTTGGAGTTTGTTTACAGTCCGTCAGATTCGAGCTGATTTACAGGCGGCAGTATATTATGTCATAAGCTGTAAAAATGCAGAAACCTATTATACTTCAAAATACCAAAGAATAACACGGTGATGCATTCAGAAAGGCAAGCTAAATGGGTAAGTTACGTACACAATTAACATTACTCTTTAAACACCAACTATTAACGTTAAAGGGAGTTTCATGTTTCAGTATGTTGCCATGTAACGTTACGTTAGGGTTTGGGTCTTTGTTACAATTTAATCTGCTCTATTACGTTACATTATTGTTACAACGATTGCCATTTTCCGTTGTAGGTTTGGTTCCGATGTGTTTGTTAACTTTGCTTGTAGTAATAATAAAGTAAGGTTTGAGTCTGAACTGTAACCGTATCTGGTTCTAGTGATGGCGGGTGTCGGTGGTAGCGGGTCCGGTTCTGCCCTCCAGGAGGTGTTTGATCAGCTGCGGTCGGCACACACTCTTTCTTTGACCCTCAGCAGTCCGCTCTGCCTGGCTGTGGTCTCTCTGGACCGGTATCTGAGCTTTCAACATCCCGCAGCCCAGAGCTACAGTTACGACCTGACGCTCACCGACGGCCGCTGGCGGATAAAGTGTCAACTGGCGGACGGTCTGAGCCGGTGGGTCCGGACGGGCTCTCTGCGCTGCGGTGCGGGGCTCCTGGTGTCTCAACTTTCCCTGGTCCACGACGAGACCAGACTACATCACAGTTACGTGAGGATAGACGACATTCACAGCGTCGTGGAGCTTCCTGAGAGGTTTCTGAGCATTAAAGATGTGGAGAGTGTCCCGCTGTGGTCCCAGGACAACGTGACCTGGGCCGATGGACCGCTGCAGATGAGCAGGAGGTATTATTTGCCCCTGTGGATAAATGACGACCCTTATGGAAAAGTATGGATTCCCAACAGCCCACCACCAGACGTGGTTATTGATGGTATGAGATAAACCATGTTCATTTAATGATGCTCAAACTAACCTAATATCAAATTAATATGAATATAAATAATTTATGCCAACAGAGTCGGTAATTGTGTGAATGTATTTGCAGGAAAGGTACAGCTTAAAATAGCAGTATTCTCTTTTAATTTGTTATAAAATAAAATAGTTTAGTTGATGGCAAAACTGCAGCCGTTACTTTACTCTTTAAGTATCTTCAGAATTTGTTACAAAAATATTTGGCACCAAATACTGACAATAAAAATAATCATTGTTTTTAATTGAGTGTTAATAATGCTGTAGACCACTAAGTCAGCATAGAATGATTTGAACCACCAATTGAAATGAACCACTAACTTATCTAGCATATGTTTTACACAGCGGTTGCCCTTCCAGCCGCAACCCAGTACAGTGAAACACCCATTCACACACATACACTACGGCCAATTTAGTTTATTCAATTCACCTACATCGCATGTCTTTGGACTGTGGGGGAAACCAGCACAGCTGGAGGAAACCCATGCGAACACGGATAGAACATGCAAGTCCACACCGAAACACTTATTGACCAGCGACCTTGCTGTGAGGCGACAGTGCTACTCACTGAGCCATCATGTTGCCCAAAAACTGATTATTTCACTTCACAATACCTTAATATACCGTCAAGAGTCATGAGCATTAATTTTGTTTCTCTGGGTTTTTTTTTTTTGGCTCTAAAACTTTTGATAGCCGCTGACTTGCATTTTATGAATTACCCCTGTAAAAAAAGTAATCTTGCAAGGCTTGTTTGTTAGCGAATTAATATAATGGTGAACTATCAAAAATGTGGTAGGTAGAGTATTATAAACATGGAAATTTCTCTTGAACACAGCTGGAATGTTGTTCACTTGCTGAATAAGAGTAGTGTGTCTTTCATTTACGGCCATTTAATGTTGTTATCCTTCTGTTTGTATCAGTGTCTAGAATCACTCTTCTTGCGAATCTGGAGGCATTTTTTCCCACCCCTAGACCACCTCTCCCAATATTGGTCCGAATCCTGCACAGGTCCAGAATCAGATACTATGGAAAACCAGGACAAAACATTGACTTCCCATTTCAGGTGTGTGTGAGGTCATTTATTGCTCACAGCCTTCGTTTCCATCTGTGGCTCTTCTCCATGTGTTTGACTTGCAGGTGTACTGTGAGGTGGCTGATCAAAGCGGCGTCATGTCCATGGTTGTGTGGAATGAACTTTGTTTGGAGTGGTTCAACAGGCTGACGGTTGGCTCAGTTCTGTATCTGCAGCAGTATTCGCTGAAACCAAGATATCAGCACCGCTCCAGACCACAGATCCACTCGCTCTCTCTTATGACTTTCCACTCCATCGGTATGGGCTACATTGTAAAGCTAGCTTTTTTTTATCCAGCTGAATTTGATTATGCTGTTCAATACTGGACGTCTTGGTGATGTAGAGTTATTTCAGATCATTGTTTATGGTGGTTCTGTATGTTGTAGAGATCTGTCTGAATCCTCGAAGTCCTGCATCTGTAGTGACAGTGATTCCACCTAAAAGTGTTCGGCCTCAGTGGGGTCTGCCTGAAGTTCCTTACAACTTTGCCACACGGTATGCATAATCACTACTAACAAACATGTTTCTTTAATTCTTTGGTTTTAATGTACTGGCTTTAAAAACATAAAGTTCTGAGAAAATCTATAAAATTTGTTTGTTGCAGTTGAAAGGTTTGGGATCAAGATGGTTTGAAATTGTCTGTATTTTTATTTTCTGAAAAAAACACACTTTTGTTTAGAAAATGTAAGGCTTGAAGCTTACACTGCTATTCTGAACCAATAGTTGGAAACAGAAAGCCGTTGATTAAGGATGGCATGTTTAAATCAATTATTTATCTGACTCCATTGTCATTAATCTGACTCCGTTAAAGTTGTTATCATTGATAAAAAGAAAGTCTCAACGAAAAGAATCTCAACGCCTTAAAGCAAGCAATTTTGTGTATTAAGTTACATGTTTACAGACAGTAGAATGAAACAAACTAACATACTGTATAGGGAAACTTGGCTGTAACATATGAACCGCTCTGTAACAAAGTCTGTAAAACTGCCTTTGTTAGCATATACGGCTACACACCGGTGTTGGGGAAGCAGAGTAAAAGCCATTCTCCCAGATCAACAGTTACCTTTCCTCCTTTAACCCTGAGCAAAGCATTTTCAAACATGAGTGAAATACCAACCCCCAAAACCAGCTGAAAGCAAAGTTGAGGAGATAAAGTGGGGGAGAAGTGCATTAACATAATCCTCAGGCCATGACTCAACAATAGTAAACAGATTGTAAATTGAAATACATAAATCTCTGGTTATTTTTATTAATGCCATGCTGAAGTCATAAATGACGCCTAACATGACAGTTATATGAAAGAAGATCATGATCAGATGAATTGTGAAAAAACACATGGTTACTGTATGCAAATGGCAGAGATGTATATTGCACATGCGAGATGCACAAATTAGTATTTTTTGTCAATATTAAGAATTTTTTCAACAAACAAGCATATGTTTTACATTTATAATGGTGTTCGTGTTTTACTGTCATGCTTATTAAAAAAACGTAAAAAACTCTACATTTATAATAATAATAACTATACTAGTCCCACATCATACTTTCACAACTGTCATTCAATGACACTTGAATACCCTGTCGGAAAAGTCTAGTCTAGTGGATGGGAATGAGCTTTTACAGTGTCTGGTTGGTTATGAAGTTCATTTTGTTATCGTGTGATTACATAGATGAATATGGCCACAATGTAAATTCTCAGTAGAGTTACAAGGTTAATGCCACATTATATTATTATAATAACATGATATTGTTGCCTTTTGTGATTTCCTGAATATTTAAAGCAAAAAAAAATGCAACTGGAATAACTACAGCTGTTATCATTATCAACATTGTGTGCAGGTGTTGTAGTGGTGTCCAATTTCTTAGGGGTAAATTTTGAAGCCCTTCCCCTTCACACTCTGTTTCAAGGACCAAGGGGTAAAAAATGGAATTGGAATTGGGCCTTAACATTGATAAAAAGGCACAGTAAAGACATTTATAATGTAACAAAAAATGTGCTCTAAATATAAACAAGAGTTTCCAAAAAAAAAAGCTTTTTTTAACATTAATAATAACAAGAAATGTTCTTCAGGACCAAATCAGCATATTCGCATTGATTTCTGAAGGATTGTGTAATAGACTGCAGCACTGATACTGAAAATACAGCATTTTCATTACAAGATAAATAATACATCAAATAAATATATGAATACAAAACTTGAAAAATCTCAATTCCAAATTTTGAAGCTGTGGCATCAGCCTTTATTTACACCAATGCATAATAATTGAATAATGATTTAAATTATAAATGATGTTAAGTTTTAAATTTCTGTATTTGTGGCATTATAGGTTATAGAAGTTTTCCCTGTTTTATTTAGCTGTTTTTGTGTTACTTAATATACTGTAAATACTATTTACTGTGAAGGCAGACAACAAATTTCCACATCATGGATGTTGAAGTCTCTTAACTAAACTGTTGTTCTCTCTGTGATCAGGTCAGAGGTGAACTCAATGAACAGTAACCAAGCCTGTGACATTATTGGACTTGTGACATACGTGGGCCGGGTTGAGCGACTCAGAAGCAAGGAAAAGAGCGGTACAGCTTTTTTTACCTAACAGCTGATTCTCTCAGTTCTTGCTATTACAGGCTTCATTATACTGATGTCTCTTTAACAGGGTGTCTGTAGGGTCTTAAAATATAAAAGTTGATGCGTCAATTTAAAGAAATTTAAGGCCCTTAAAAAGTATTCAAAAGTCTTAAATGCTATTTTAAAAGGTATAACATTTTGTTTCATTATTCTAAAGTTTGCCTGAATTTAATCTGCGAATATTTGGAAGCTGTGCAGTTTATGAAGTCAATAAAATCCTGCTAGATTTGACTATCCAGCTATGTCCAGCTTAAACTAGGTTAGTCAAGCTGGTTTCAGCTGTTTATTTCCCAGCCTGACCAGCTAAGACCAGGCTGTAAATGGACAAAACCCATCTGAAACCAGGCTACTTAGCCAGCTAAAACCAGGCTAGGCTGGTTTAAGCTGTTTGATTTTTCAGCCTAGGCTGGTTTTAGCTGGTGACGTTTTAACTTGCAGTATATAAACTAAATACTGATTGTAAGAAACCACTCTTAAACGAAAACATTATTCATATACTGAATAAAAAATTTGCCAGTGTTACTGGTTAAAACATAAGTGGTGATGAGGCCTTAAAAGTGTATGAAAAGAGTCTTAAAAAAGGTATTGAATTTCACTCTCTGATTCCTCTATATACCCTGTTAAATCAAATCATGAAATCTGCATGTTTGTGTGTGTGCCTGTCAGGACCTGAGAAGTTCTGGGCATATCGTTGGGTGCACGCAGTGGACGGTTCAAGCGATTCTCCCTTTATACTGGAGATCTTCTCCTCATCCCAGCCAGAGATCTTCAACAACATCTGCCCCAGTAATACATCAGTTTATGAACACAAACACTACGAGTTTCAAATTTTAAACGACTTCATCTGAATTTATCTCCCATCTTGCACAGTGACATATTTGGTGTGCACTCAGATGAGAGTCTGTCAGACGGGCAGTTCCGTGTATCTGACCAGTAGCACAGAGACACAGCTCTTCATTACAGGTAAGTTTCAGACAGCCAGTTAGATCACATACTGTATTCATTATCAGCTCAAGTGTTTCATTTTCTGTGTTTGCACTTTTATCAGGGTGTCATAAAAAGCAGCCCTACGTCAATGAGCCAAAAGTTAAAGCGTTCATCCAGTGGACGAAGACACTGAAGGACAGCGTTGTGTTGCGGAGGACAGCGGTTGGAGGACATTACTGCTACCCTCCATCCCCTCCCACATTTACACCAACCACCAGTAAGATTTGAAAGTTTGCACCTGATATTAACATGCATTTTTTTCTGATCCAATCAGAATGCATTATTGCTTCTACTTGGTGTTAACATGTGCTTCTTAACATTTGGCATTAAAGCCGCATTATGTAAGATATTTTTATTAAAATATTCAAAAACCACTAGAACGGTGTCATATATTTTGCCGACTTAATGTGCTTGCAATATCCCAAACAAAGAATGTTCAAATGCAGAGAAATAGGCAATTTAACTAGTGACATAGACTGTGTCCTGTGTCACCATCCTAATGATGTCATACACCTGGGTAATATCATTTTATAAATATCGTATTGCTTATAGAGTACCTCATTATTTAGAATGCTATCACATTTTTCTTCAGTATTGTACAGCTCTATTCATAGTAGTGGGCTGAGATTATACGATTTTTTTGTGGCTGTTTTAATGCATCAGTCATTTGCTTTAATTTCTTTATTGTCCACTAGTGAACATTTATCTTCCTAAATTACATTACAAAAAATAATCTAAATAATTGCATTTTTGACAACCTCTTGCAACTGGTCAAAATCTGACAAGCTCAAATCATTTTTGACCTGGTTTACACATGCATTTAAAAGGACCCTAAATTTTAGCCATCTTACAAACCTGGTCATTGCTTCTTATGTCGTAAGACATTTGATTTTCAATGTTTGAACTTCCAAAGGGTTCAAAGTCAATCTTTAATCTTTAATTTCTAATTAAAAAAAAAAAATTCAGATTTTTAAGAGCACTCATGTTGCTGACATAAAGTCTGCAGTAAGCAATATTGGGAAAAGTACTTCACAGTTACTTTCATTTGGTGAACGTAATGCATTACAATATTGATTTACTCCTAAAAAAGTTACTAGTTGTGTTACTTAGGTAATTTTTGTGGTAAGTAATGCATTATGTTAAGTTTGAGTTACTTTTGCGTTCCTTTTTCTTACCTGATTAAGGCTTGATCTGTTTCAGAACCTGCAGGGGGGGTTGTTATAGGTTTTTATAGCTATGCAATTAACAGTGCTCTATATAAAATGTAAAAATTATAATCCATTATAATGTTATCATCTGCAAATGTTGTGATCCCAGAGGTATGTATGCCCTATACACAGATAAATGAAAGTTTAAAGCAATGTGTTTGTTACTTTTGTACTTTTTGAAAAAAGGTCATATTATTACCTACCTGTACCTCGTGTTACTAAATGACATTTTAGGTGAATTACTGCAACAAACCTTTAGTATGTGAAAAATGTTTATTACAGTATTTTCTACAAAAATTGTGAACTGTTTGTGTCAATTGAGATTGTGGGAAAAGCTGATATTCAAAAAGTTAAAGCCTATATGTAATTTCCAAAGGTTTCCAGAAACAGCACAGGCAAACAGTGAATATTAAACACCAAAACACTTTATTAAACTAATTTAAGCATTATGTATTTAAGTTTTGATATTGTATAAATGCCATTTATTTAATGGGTCTCATAAATTTCTGTGGCAGACGAGTCAATAACTGCAGTTGTTGAGCTGAAGAGGGAGCTGGAGAGTCTGCAGTACAGAGAGCACAGGAGAGTGGCTGTACAGGGTTATGTGTCTGCAGTGCAGTATCACACCTGGCCACCACACACCAGACAACAACAGGTAAATATTGCTGAATCAGGCCACCTTCAAGACAGTCTGACATTTCCCTTTACCATTTTTAGAAGGAATCTAAACCTGCTGACAAAAATGACAAGAGCGCTGGTGTTCTCTTTCCAGCAGGAGGATGTTTCAGTAAGAGGAGATCGTGACAGCGAATCTGCCCTTCCTCACTCCAGCAGATATCAAAGAGAAACAGATTCAAGCTCGCTTGATTCTGACAGTACAGTCTCATCCAAACGCAGGAGAGTGTTGACAAACCCAAGGTAAGGCATCCACTGAAAGCAGCTCATGAAAGTTCATGCTTAAAATATTGTTAATTTTAAATTTTAAAACAGCTCTTTAAATTATATGATCAAAGATTAGTTATGTTTTTTTAATACATTAATGCAATTTTATTGTATTTTTTTACATTTTGTTAATAATAACCGTTTGGTGGAACGTTGGACTCTCCAATAGTATCTGGATGCAGCCTTGATTTTTGCAAGCTGAAACTGGATTTTCAGCATCATTACTTTTTTGGTGTTGTGATCCTTTAGAAATCATTCTAATATTTATTGGTGATCAGAAAATTTTTTAAATTTTTTATGAATAATGAAATCCACTATACTGCTTTTTTATTATTATTATTTTTTTAAGAAAATGTGAATATTTGTTAAAAAAAATTACAGTTTAAATAGCTAAATAATTCTAGAGATATTGGTAAATTAGTTTACTGGTTGTTGGTCATTTGAAATTCTTGAACGTCACCAAATATGTATATTTTCTTCTTTGTTTAGAGTGCATCGTCAGTATTTCACCAGATCCAAAATGCAGTCAAGCAGGTAATCTAAGCACATTACACTAAAGCAGGTCGCACATCAGGATACACACACCGGCGCCGCAAGTCGGCGGCTGTCGGCGGCGCCCGGCGACGGCTCAGGACGCAGTTCATTTTTCAGCCGCGCCACAGAGCGCCATCTGATTAGTTTCATGTTAAATATAATTCGAATGTGCGCGTCTGGTGTGCGATACTTTAATCTGTCATGTACGCGCCGTGTCGCGGCGCCGAGCGGCGCTTCTGGTGTGCGACTTGCTTTAGTCTGACTTGCAGGATGGAAATAGACAGAACTGTGTTTTTATTCAGTTTCACATGTTGTTGTGTTTTTTCTACCCAAGGAATTTTTCAGAATGTTTTATGGTAAAGCCTATAACAGAAAATCTCCAGTCTCTATCAAATACTTAAATCTAAATACTATTTTCAAGTTCTTAAATTACTGTGACTGAAATAGGATGAGGGACAAAAAGTTTGTTTGGGGTGTATTCAATTCACAGTTGAAAACTGAAGCTGTATGTTAAATATTTATTGCATTCATAGAGACCTGTGATTCCTAATCCAGTTGTAAAAATTAAAGAAACTGAATAATCCAGAAAGGTCTGGAATTCAGGATTTTAGTGGTCTTCGCCTAATTGAATGGAGATATGACTAGTCGTCACCTTAGAATTATTCTATCTGACATTTTTGTCAAAATTAAGTTATTGACAATCTTATTAAATTACAACTTATTTACATTATGGGATGTTTTTTTTATAAGTTGTTTAAATTTTAAGACTTTTTATTTAAAAAACAAATGTTACACACATACTGTTTGCTATTGATTGCAAAAACTTTAAAGCTCAAAATCTCAAAATCATTTAGAACGAAGATAGAACCTTATAATTCCAAGGTGAATATTCAACTGCAAACAAAAAATGGAATGGGAATGAATGTTGTGTGTGTCTGTGCAAATGCAGTTTTGTGACCTTCAAATTTTCTGAAGCACTATGTTTATAGACTATTTCAATGGTGTGATGTCATTGGCCCATGAAAATTCCCTGCTTGTTGTAAAACTATGTCATAAATGTAACAAGGGGCAATTAAATAATAACTTTACGTTAAAACACCTGCCATAGGATTATTAATCAATATGTGGACTTTTTTGTATTCTCGAAAGCTATGGAAATGAAAAATGTGAAACAGGAAATATGTTTGGACCATTGTTTTTATTTACATCTCTCAAAATGGTCTATTGCGGGGGCGCTCAACCCTGTTCCTGAAGATCTACCTTCCTACAGATTTCAGCTCCAACCTTGAACAAGCACACCTGAACCAATTAATTTATAGATGTAAAGCACTTGATAATTACAGACAGGTGTGTTTGATATGAGTTGCAACTGAAATCTGCAGGAAGGTCGATCTCCAGGAACAGGGTTGGTCATCCCTGGTCTATTGTCTCACTATATGAATGCATGAACTTCATCTCTGGAACTGCTCTGAGAGTCGGCATTCCCCAGCATTTCTTTTAATCTGCCCTCTGATTGCTCTCTTAGGCAGGTGGGTTTTACCTCTCATGAAGAGGAGGAGGAAGAAGAGCAGCAAGATGAGAGAGAATTGATATCAGAGGAATCTGAGAGTGAAAATCAGCACACATCAGCTGAAGGAACAGGTGCTATGCTAACAATAATACTTCAGTATCTGTAATATATAAAATGACTCCAATAACATCATACAATGGTTCAATGTTCATTAAAGAGGCTGACCAGGCATCACAAACCCACGACGAACACCAAACTGAGAGCCCACCCACTGCATTATGGGAGAGCAGCGTTTGGCTATTGGCAAAACAAGAAGTGACTGAACACTTTTGCTGTGGCAGACTCAGTCAGGAAAGCCTTCCTGAAAAATTCTGCTTTGATGACAGAGAAGTCCTGCTACGTAACCTGAACCTGAGCCCGTCGAGATGGAGCCCTGATATGAGCTCACAGACGCGCACACACACACCTGTGGCCTGCACTGGATACTTCACACTCACCATTCTGGGTAAGAGCAGCACCCACAGCTCACTCTTACAGAGCTACAGCTTCAGCATATAGATGATGTTGGACTTTTGCTAATATCCATCCTTTTTGGTTTATGTGTTTTAAAGCCTAGAATATAGCCCATTCTTCTATGTACAGTTGAAGTCAGAATTATAAGCCCTCCTGATTTTTTCAAGTGGTGCTCACTGCAGAGCCATTTGAGAAGAGCTGAGCTCCAGCGAGGGGGAGCTAAGCTTGAGCTCCACCTTTTTTGCACTTCTTCTACGAGTGATGTCACTTGGGGTAGGGTTTGGGGTGGGGTGGGTGTACGCATTAAAACAGCTTACAGGAGGAGGAGCGACAGCTCATGCTCCCCCTCGCTGGAGCTCAGCTCTCCTCAAATGGCTCTGCAGCGAGCACCCTCTTGATTTTTTTAGCCCTCTTGTGCTTTCCCCCCAAATTCTGTTTAAAGGAAAGAAAATGATTTCTACACATAATATTTTTAATAACTCATTTCTATTAACTGATTTCTTTTATCTTTGCAATTATTGCAGTAAATAATATTTTACTGGATATTTTTCAAGATATTAGTTTTCAGCTTTAAGTGCAATTTAAAGGCTTAACTAGATTTATTAGGCAATCAAATCATAATATAATGATGGTTTGTTTTGTAAGCAGTTAAAAAAATCTAGCTTAATAGGGCTAATAATACTGACCTTAAAATGTTTAAAAAAATAAAAAATGCTTTTATTCTAGCCAAAGTAAAACAAATAATACTTTCCCCAAAAGAAAAAATATTATAGGAAATACTATGAACATATTTTGAGAAATATGTGCATATTTTGGGAAACAAATTCATTAGAGGGCAAATAATTTTGACATTTACTGTAAGTGACCAGAGTAAGCTGCTACAAACTTTATGCTGTTAGTGTTTATTTAAAGGCCATGTTTTCAGTAAAGCTGGTATTCAAAGACTTTTCTTGTCTCTTAAAGCTTTTTGATCTAAAATTAAGCTAACAGTCTAGCCTAAGCTATTATTCAATAAATTGAAGTCTGCATGAACCGGAAGCTGGAAGCTGCAATGCTGTTTTTTTATTTTTATTTATTTATTTATTTTTGTGACAGTTCCAAGAGAAATGAGAATAAAGCTGGTGTGGCTTGTTTTTTTCTATTATGAGCTGAATGTATATATAAAGTAAGGATTTCATTCAGAAAGATCGGGAAAAAGGGTTTCGGGAGGGTTATTACAACCCAATATAGCCACCTACCCCCTGCCATTTCTGTTGGTTGTCATAACGCTGTCAAAACTGACAGTTGGAGGGGTGTGGTTAAATATGCCAACCACACCCAATACCTCAAACAGCTGAGAATTTAACTTAAAACAAACAGGAAGTTAATTTTTTTTCAGATGAATTGTTCACCACAAAATTAGCAATGTGAGCTAACAAAATCAATATGGTTGGTTTTGATTTCATGTGTACTTTAAGCAAACTTTCACATTTCTGATGCTTTCATGTGTATATACATTTTTAGCCAACACAACTTAAATTTTTTATTTTCACAATTTTTACCAAATCAATATTTTGTGAAATAACCTTGATTTTCAATCACATACAAATAAAAAAACTTTATACACTCACTGGCCACTTTATTAGGTACACCTGTCCAAGTGCTCGTTAACAAAAATTTCTAACCAGCAAATCACATGGCAGCAACCCGATGCATGTTTCTCGATGTATCAATGGTTCAGGCTGGTTGTGGTGGTGTAATGGTGTGAAGGATATTTCCTTGGCACACTTTGGGCCCATTAGTACCAATTGAGCATGGTGTCAACGCCACAGCCTACCTGAGTATTGTTGCTGACCATGTCCATCCCTTTATGACCACAGTGTACCCATCTTCTGATGCCTACTTCCAGCAGGATAACGCGTCGTGTCATAAAGCACTAATCATCTCAGACGTGTTTCTTGAACATGACAATGTGATCACTGTACTCAAATGGCTTCCACGGTCACCAGATCAAAATCCAAAAGAGCACCTTTGGGCTGCGGTGGAACAGATGTGCATTATGGATGTGCAGCCGACAAATCTCCAGCAACTCTGAAATGCTATCATGTCAATACAGACCAAAATCTCTTAGGAATGTTTCCAGTACCTTGTTGAATCCATGCCACGAAGGATAAAGGCAGTTCTAAAGGCAAAAGGGGGTCCAACCTGGTACTAGTAAGGTATATCTGATGAAGTGGCCGGTGAGTGTATATCCTTTTGTTTAAACAGGATAAAATACACTAAGAAAGTCAATGGGTGCCAGCTACGAGGACTTTTAAAAATACATATTTTTTCATGTTCAACAGAAGATAAACCTTCAAATGGGTTTTAGAACTAGTAAAGGGAGAGCAAATGTTTATTTTTGGCTGCACTGTCCCTTTAAGATAATATTGGACATGCATCTTCTCTTTCAGGACTGAATCAAACGGCTGCAGTGGATGTTCAGTTTGTGCCTGTCGTCTCCTCTGATGACCCCAGAGCTGCTGGCATCCCACACACTCCACATGACAACTCCCTGCTGTCCTGCATTTCAACAGGACGTCTGTGTGTTCAGCCAGACGGGAGCTGTCCCTCGCCAGGTTCTTCCAGACTGCTCTGTTTACATCCTCCATCTCTGCTTAATAACACACGAGTCACTGAAGTATGTGTGTTTTGTTTGTTTCTGCAGGGTCATTGATGACTTCTGCACCTCAGCTGGAGTCAGAGCGTGTGGTGTGTATTGTTGATCTCTGTCTGCTCGGAGAACAGAAGGTAGAAATGATCTGCTCCAAACTCTACAGGACAACTGACATCTGTTAGCTCGACAGCACTCAATAAGACGCCCTCACAGTAATAATAATCATGCAAAAGAAATGCATCCCATGTAGGTCAGATGATGACGAATGTATGGGGCCTGATATTAGTGTGTTCTGATTGGAGTTTTAGAGGAAAGAATGATTTTATGTCTAAATCTGACAGTTAATTTATGTCATTATATATATTATATATAATTTATGTTAGAATATTTGTAATTTCATGAACATTTTTTAGAAAAAAATAAATCCCAAAACATTGCTTAAATCCCTTTATTTTCATCTTATGCTGTTGTTATTGTACAGCCAACAAAGATTTATGTAAAGTCAAAGCATTATAAATTAAACCTTCAGACATAAACATATGCACACTGTGTGTCCAAAATGGTGCTGGACAATCCCACAACTGATAACCCATTATCACTGAAAATCGAACCTGATTTAGAGAGATAGTTCACCCAAAAACAATATTAGTACAAATAAATTCTCAATTACTTGCCCTCAACGTTCTTCAGTTGAATACAAAAGAAGATTTTTTTTTTGACAATGTAAAAAGCTGCTGTTTTTTTCCAACATATTTCTAAATTACTTTTGTTCAACAACAAAAACAAAACCATAAACCCTGCAAAAATGCTTTTATTTCTTAATAATTTATAGCTTGTATCTCTATCTAAAGAGAGCGATATCAAGAATAATGTTTTATACAAGTAAAAAAAATGTTTAATTTAAATAAGTCCGAGTGTTAGTTTTTAATTAAAACCAGCTAAACAATTTTGTTTTTACTATAAAATAATTGATTGGCAGATAATTTAGCTTGTTTTAAAGGGCACCTATTTCACCCCTTTTGCAAGATGTGGGAAAAGTCTTTGGTCTCCAGAATGTGTCTGAAGTTTCAGCTCAAAATAACCTTCAGATAATTTATAATCACCTCCAGAATCTGCCCATTTTTGTGTCTGAGTACAGTGTAGCTGTTTTTGGCTTTAAATGCAAATGAGCTGGTTTTCCCCACCCACTGTTCCCACATGCGTTATGTCAGATAAACAGCAGTCAGTGACGGACTCGAATCAAGCTGAAATACAGCCCATTAGTCAAAAATACCAAGTTAATTTTTTTTATGTATTTGTGCTGGAGTTTATTCAAGCCTTTCTGAAATGATGAGTCTCACATCATCGCCATTTACAGTACACACACATACTAGCGTTTACTGACACCATGTGGCTGTGGTGATTATAGCGGTTAATAATTACATAGTGATTTTACTCTCTTTATTGCAAACATGCTGTTTATTTGCAAAAAAAACTTGTGTGGACGTGTATACATGTTTTTATCTCATCGGTCTTTCGGATGAGACGTTAAACCGAGTTCCTGACACTCTGTGGTCATTAAAAGTCCCATGGCACTTCTAGTAAAGAGCAGGGGTGTAACTCGGGTGTCCTGGCCAAAGTCCCTCAATCGGCCCTTACGTTCATGGCCTCCCTAACATCCCTATCCACTGAATTGGCTCTATCACTGTCTCTTCACTCCACCAATAGCTGGTGTGTGGTGAGCGCACTGGCGCCGTTGTCCTGTGGCTGCCATCGCATCATCCAAGTGGATGCTGCACACTGGTGGTGGTGTGGAGAGACCACCCCTCATGGTTGTGAAGCGATTTGGGTGTATGGCCATACACAAAAAATGCGCTGTATAAAAATACACATTACATTATTATAGAAACATGGCCCCTGTCAGTTAATTCGGTGGGCGAAGAAAACCCCACTCCTACATCACGTTGCAGTGGGCCTCAAAATCACTGGGATTTGGGTCCTATTTTAACGTCAGGAAAAAAATATACATCTTTCTATCACTCCAATATGACTGGACACACTATACCTACACACAGTTCTGTTCAAAAAGCTTACAAAAGATGATTTTCATCATAGGTGCCCTTTAAGAAAAACAATTCTGTTAATTTTGACTTATTTCTTCTTATTATTATTATTATAAGACTTATTATTTTGCTTCTTGATTTAAGAAATTTTAGATATTTGGATTTGAAACAAGACAAAAACTCTTAAGTAAAAAAATAAAAAATTTTGCATTGGGGGTTTGCGATGAGTACCACTTTGTTTAGTAAATGTTTTTGGGTGAACTATTCCATAATATTTTGAAAAAACTGCCAGATTCCACTGCATAAATAACATTTCTGTAACTTTAAAGTGTGACTAAAAGATCATGTATGTACAAACTGGTATATTTACTTCTGTCCCCCATTAGATGCATTGAAAACACTTTTATATACTTCACATGTTTGTTCACATACAAAAAGTTTTTGTGTGTGGTCCAGTTTTAAGTGTAATTTTATTTCACAGTGTAAAATCAGCACAATAATTCTGTTGCTACAGAAACTGAGGTCAGAGATTAATCGGGAGATGAAATTAAGGGACCTCAGGCATTTTTTATTAATTAAAACACTGTAATCCTGGATCTCCCTGTAAAGTGTTCATAGGTACGAAAAACAGTGTAACTTTGTGTGTTTCTGATATTCCTGCTAAGGTTCCTGCTAATTTCCCATAAGATTGAGGCATCACAGAAAGACACATCATTGCTGAAACATCAATATCCCAAATCACAAACTGATCAAGTGCTGCTGGAATCATGGCACATTAAACATCTGATCACATCCTTTCCTCAGTGTTTTCAGCTGCGTGTGCTGTACATGTCTGCATCCTCTGGGTTAGACTGGCCGTGGTCGAGCAGAGAAGGGTCAGGAACAAAGCGAGACTTCGCTAGGATAGGAAAAAGACAGTGGATGTTGGTATGAGGAGAACAGGAATTGCCAGTGTCAGGTGAAATTCACTGTATTTGATTTTAAAATGTATTATTGACTGTTAAGTTAATATTAAGATAATTGACACAAAGGTGCTGTAGGAGTACTGTTAATTAATAGACCAGTTAATTCACTGCTAAGTGCTTCCTACCTACAAAGTTTAAAGATTTTTTGGTAACACTATTTGAAAAGATTGTAATAGTTAAAGTATTTATTGTGGTGAAAAATCAACAAACGATCCATTTATTACTAGGACTGCGAGATAATGATTAAAATTAACATTGCCATGTCAAAAAAACTGACGGTGAAATGGACTGTTTTGTGTTTCTTCTTTATATATATAAATATTGCGATATGAATAAAATTTCACCACATGGTTTATTAAGGCTATTATGGAAAGAAATCTTGAGTTTAGACTGTTTGTGGTGATTTTGTATGGGAATCATGGATGAAAAGTTAAGCTACAAATGTTGTACTTTTTTGTGCTTGAATGCTTTAGACTCTTTGCAACTGATAAGCTTTCACTCTGTTTTGGTTAAACTTTGTAGTGACTCTACAACTCTCTTGTATTCTGAACTGTGGTGCTGATCAACTATAAGCCAAATGCAACTTTGCAGATCCTGTGATGTGACTATTGTGGACGCACACATTGCAATTTCAATGCTGAAACGATATATTGTGCAGACCTATTTGTTACAGTATTTGTTTTTATTAACGCTAGCTAATGAAAATAGAGTAGTTTTGTCAATATTGTTCATGTTAGTCAATACATTACATTAAAGGAAAATTATAGTAAACTGAGTCCATTTATTTTATAAGAAATGTATTTTATTTATTGTTTTATTTATAGAGGAAGAAATATATTTTTTCATAGTAGATGCAAAGACTTGCGAAAACTTTCAGTCTCAATTAAACTTTCAATTCATTAAAGAAACTGGGAAAAATAGTTTCCACAGAAATTGTAGGACACGTAACCCTTAATAATGTTTCATGAGCAGCAAATCAACATATTAGAATGAATTTTGAAGGATCATGTGACATTAAAGGCTGATGAAACGTAACGGGAATAAATCGCATTTTAAAATGTGCTCAAACAGAAAACAAATTCCAATAATATTGCACTGTACTATTGTTTAACTGTATTTATTCTTAAATAAAAGTACATAGTGAGTAAATGACACTTCTTTTTTTTATTTGATAATTATATTTGTAATCATTTTTACTAACCCCAAACAATTTAATGGTAATTTAGTTTTTTCTGTAGCCAGTTGATCAAAAAGAGCGATAAAAAACAAACAACTTGTAAGTAGCAGCAGAATGTTTAAAAAGGATAAATGTGCAGATATATAATTGTGTATATACAAATATCAGTGTGAATATTTCCCCACTTAATTGGCCCTTCCTTAAGGCTGATTTATAGTTCTGCATTAAGCATACACGTATGCTCTGGCGCAGCCTGCGTGTGTTCGCATAGCCCTCACTGTGGCTGACGCTGACACGCACCTCTTTAAAAAATTAACTACATATCGCAACGACGCATAGAGCAAGCTCTGTGATTGGTTGGCTTAGTTGTGGTGACAAGTGTGGGCGGTGTTGAGAGCCGCGAGCCTAATGGAGAGATTGTTTACAAGTGTCGAGTCACATGAAGGAGCTCCAGATGGAAATTCATTTCTTTTGTGTTTATCTTATTATTAATGTTGCAGTTCCTCCTTTCCCGCCTCTAAATGAACGAGTTTGAGCTACATGTAGCACCCAGAAAAAAACAAAACAACCATCAAGAAACTCGACAAAGAGGAACATACAACCTACTGCCAGCTAGCATTTCAGAAGTGTTACGGCAGAGCAACAAAAACAGGACGCAGAAGTATAATTGCGTGACTACATGCAAGGCGTGACTGCATGCGCCGTGGGTCACACCGATCACTCAACGCAGAAGTATAAATCAGCCTTTATACTATGTCAGGTAGTAAAAGGAGAGAAAAAGAGACAGTCTCATAGTTAAATAAGAAAACTTGCTTTTTGAATAAAACATTTTCGAAAGTTTACAATTTCAGGCTCTGGAAACACTGTCAAGTAAATGAAATGCCAAAAATTTTTCTGTTCAATGCCATGGTCACACTAAACTTGGAGCATGTGAAATTCAGAGGTGGGATTAAACAAAACGATTAAACATTTAAAAAAGCTAGTGATTGGTCTATATTTTAATTTCTGTACAGAAAGGTCATGTTTTGATCTCAGTGCTTCCCACAGGTTTAAAATATACATGCGGTGGTATACGGATTGAAAAGACACCTTTTACCCACAGCACATACATGGTCAACTACATGTGACAAATAAAAATGTGACTACATATGACAAACATCCAAATAACGGGAACGTTAGAAGCGAAAGTAAAACCCAAATCCTGGACATTTTAGAAGATGCAGAAACTACTGTCATATGCATTTTGGCACAAAAGGCTAATCTCTGTGGGTCTGCAGAGCACGAGAGATTCGCTGACGACCAGCAGTAGGAAAGGTGCAAAGTAGGGCTGTGCAATTTTGGCTTCTAGCGATTATGAAAAAGCATTAATCAAGATAAAACATTACTGCATCATATACCGCCCCCTTTCCAGTTGTACACATTTGTTGCTGCAAAGCTCAGTTTCACATGAAAATGACTAAAAGCATGTACTGTAATGTAACTTTTGCAGCACAGGATGCACATCCTTCATTGATGTACGTTCGAATCAATTATATTTTTAAAAGCACGAAAGGGCGCATGCTGTTGTGAGGGTGTGTGCGCGCTTAGCCTCAGAGACAATCATCTTAATGAGAGCGTTTTATTGGTCAAATACATGCACATTTGTGTCAGAGCGCAGTGTTTCATGATTATTCATATTAACCCTCATTTGTGTAATAAGCAAGTTGAGAATCAACAGACTTGTGAAAAAAAAACATATCAGAGCCGCACTATTCTTAAAGTGACAGCGCGCAATATCCTTGCTGCCACCTATTTTTATTATTAATCAAACAACAAAAGGAGAGAATCCCTCACTGCTCTTGACTGAAGGACTGCTGTAGCTGAAGTTTTTTTTTCTTACAGTGAAGATGCTTAAAGCACAGTTTAAACAACAGATTTAATAACTCGTTTCTAATAACCAATTTCTTTTATCTTTGCCATGATGACAGTACATTATTTTTTACTAGATATTTTCCAAGATATACTATTTAGCTTAAAGTGACACTCAAAGGCTTAATTAGGGTAATTAGGCAAGTCATTGTATAACAGTAGTTTCTTCTGCAGACAATCAAAAATATATATAGCTTAGGGGGGCTAATGATATTGAGCTAATAAAATAAGTTTCAAAACATTTAAACCAGCTTTTATTTTAGCTGAAATAAAACAAATAAGCCTTTCTCCAGAAGAAAAAATATTATAGGAAATATTGTGAAAAATTCCTCTGTTAAACATCATTTGGAAAATATTCATATATAAAAAAAATTCACAGAAAGACGAA